CGTCTCTTCATAAATTGTGTCTCGCGTTAACCAATTCGTTGTCACTTTCCATTTTCTAACGATCACTGGAGCATGAATGTAGAAGCAAGTTAAGTAAAAGCCCTTGGTAGATGCCATGATTGCCTGACAATTCTCGACTGCCCGTGTTCCCGAGTCGAATCGTTCATCGGCCTTGCTCTCCCATCACACGTTGCGTTGGAATGACCACGACGAGACTGGTAAGCTGCATGTGCAAGCATCCTAGTATATACAGTATCCTAGTTCCCAACCACCCAGTGTCGATACGACGACGACTTGAGCTACGATAACAAAAAGACAAAAACAAAAACAAAAACCCGCGCCTCCTTTTTGCCTACCCATCATAAATCCGCGGGGTGAAAAGAGAGACGCCCGCCCGGCTGGTCCGAATCCAAGCCTCGACCATTATGGTCACGTTGTTGATAGAGTAGTCTGTGGGACTCTTTTGACATCCAAGGAAATCCGAGGCCATATGGATACGTGCCTCAGAAGTATCTGGCTCACTGTGTGGCCTGGTTTAGACGGGGCCTTGAGAGCGAGTCTTGCGTTCAGTTCGACCGGGCGAGTGCAGAACCTTCTTGACCTTGCTGGCGACTTTGTGTCCAAAGGATTCTTTCTCCTTCTTGGGACTCTCCTTGGCTTGCTTCGCAGCGCCGTTTGAGGGGGGTCGTCCAGGGCCTCTCTTGGCCTTCTTCTCTGCAGGCTTTTCCTCCGGAGCAGCCTCGACAGCCTCGACGCCGTTGGTACCGTTGGTACCGTTAGTTCCATTGGTACCATCGGTCTCGGTTAGTTCATCCGCCTTGCGTTTGTTGCTCGTCTTGGCCTCTGGTGGGATGGCCTGCGGCGCGGCCTCGCGCTCTCCAGTGCCGGTAGGCTCGGCGTCGTTGAGGGCACCAGTCATCTCGACATCCTTGGTCGCAGCGCCATTGGCGGCTTCGGGCTTCTCGATGATAGGTTCCTTGACTGCCTCTTCCTCGACCGCTGGTGCCTTGAGTATCTGTTGCGGAGTGGGCTCTTCGACGGATTCCTTGACCGGCTCGGCGACGGGTGCAGAGGTTGCGGCCTTCATCTCCGTAGGCTGTTCAGCGGGGATGACCTTGGCCTCCTCGGTTCCCGTTGTCGCAACGGGGCCGTCTTTGTCGGGGACTTCCTCGACGGAGGCCGGCTTGGGCGCATCGGTGGTAGCTTCAGCCACAGCTGGGGCAGCTGGCGCATCGGCCGGTGGGGCCAGCGCAGGAGGGTCCGCCAGTTTGGCGGGCTCGGCAGTCTCAGTAGCTGATGTCTCTGTGACTGGCGCGACCTCGTCCTTCTTCTCCTCGACTGGCTTCGTCTCCAAAGCTACAGTCTCTGTGGGCTTCTCATCCGCGGCGCTAGGGGCGGTGGTGGTTGCGACAGTCTCGGGAGCTGTACAAGGGGAAGAATGTCAGCGCAAGAAGGTCCGAGCGTGAGTATAGGCGCGGCGATGGGGAAGATGCGATGCGCCCGTATACCGAGAGACGATGAGCCAACGCAGGGCGCAAACATCAGCACCTCTGTACAGAGGCAACGCGACACCGATGGAAGCTTTACGACATCTTCCACTCACCTTTGTCGATGCCAGCTACGGCTGGGACAGCTCCAGGAACGGGATTGGGGTCCATTGCGATGACGTAACGGGTATCCGGTGGGCGCACAGTGCGCGATCAGAGATGTAGCAGTCGGTGGTGGGAAAGGGCTCAATGGCCGAATTCGAGAATTGATGAGAGTAGTAGATGATGGAGATGGCTGTGGTGATGCCGATTGAAGATAAGAAGGCCGAAGGATAGAGGGTGAAGTTTGTGGCAGGAGGGAAAACGAAAGGAAGAGGGAAGAAGAGAGAGGTGAGGTTGGCGTCGGAGCATGGGACTCGGCAGAGCTCCTGCTCCTCACCGGCTGGGCCTTGCTGCAACCACACAGCAAGTCATCGCACAGAAACATGGGGTTGGGAGGCAGGAGACACCGGGGTGGGAGGGAACGCTTCTGGTTCCACGGGGGATGGGACGAATCAGCAACTGAAAGGGCGGGCTCGGAACACGCCATTACTATTACCTCAGCCATTGCGCTCACAGCTTCCGTGCTGCGAAAGAGTGTGAGTGTGTGCGCTGTGCTGACCCTTAGCTCTCTACCTTTACCTATGGACAACAGGGAGCGGACCTCGAGCGACGAGAGTGAAGCTGTGAGCTTGCAAGGAGAAGGCCGGGAATAGCAAGGTTCCCCTCGCGGCATATTGGGTGGAGAGGAACCTTGGACCGTCATGTCAATCTGACGTGACTGCGAGCTCCACGGACGCCGATGGCCAAACCTGGCGATCTTGGGATGTTACAGGGCTGGCGAGGAAAAGCTAAGGCCCGGTTAAGATCCGGTTAATCCGAAAGAGACATGGCCGATGGGTAGAGCTGGCAAGCTGAGTGTCTTAGGTCGAGTCTGCTGAGGCGAGCGGTCGCCGATGAGAGCAGCTGGAGTTTAACGGTTTTTCATGCATGCTGCCATTCATATCGTTCAACAGCATCTGATGAGTGGACTCACGCTGAAGCGAGAGGCCATGTTTGATCGAGACAGAGACGCAAAGCTTTTCGGCACTGAGATGACGGTGTTGCAGGTCCGTCTCAACGTCTTGTAACGCCGAGAATGGGAGATAGTTAGTCAAACCATCTAGACCGTGTGTTTCCACCATAGACACACTGTACAAACGAAGCGAAGCTCACCTCACTCTTCAGTCCCCGATGGGATGCGATCGATTCCTGGCTGGCGGGCGACGCTTGCCAGGGCAGAACTGCAGCGTCACGGTGGTGCAGCAAGGCGGATGCGGGGAAGGACCAATGACTGGCCTCGAAGGCAGAGCATCATCTCCACCCTTAGCCAACCATATTACGTCAGCCAATCAGCACCACGCGAGGAAAGAACCACGTCTGAGCTTTCTGGACAAGCTGCACGCCATCTGTGATCGATGATTTTACCCCGGAAAGTCATGAGAGGTAGATGTATCTGTGTAGACGGACGTTGCGCAGACATTTTTTCCGTTCCTATAAAGAAACTCTTTGTATCTTACCGAGGTATAGATGTTTGTGGTTCTCCTTTTTGGATAAACCCAACAGTCTTGTTCTTGTTCTAATTGAGAACCTCCCCTACTTCTATGAAATGCAATACTGACTTGCGAAGGAAGGTACTCATCGGCAAGTTTAGGTAGCTTCCATCTTGACTCGTGGAAGGAGTTTCGAAATTCCCCAAATTGTAGCAGGAATCAATCGCTCTCTTGGAGCTGTAAAAGACACTTCTCAGAGTGAATGGGAAATAGTCGAATGCGATTGTCATCTTCTTCATCATGGTCGGCTCCCATATGAGTGGCTGCCTTCTAGGCAGGGAAGGTATGTATCCCACGGTTGATACCTTCCATGCAAAGGTGGTCGAGACTTGAAGCTCTAGTCCGATTCAGGCAAGAAGCTTGGGCAAGATATTGTCTGACAAGTTGCCAAAATTTAACGCAAAGAAGAAGCGCCCAGAAATTCAACAATCTTGGTGCTTCAAATTTTTGTATTAAGAGACATTCTTTGATGAGTGCAACAATTGACGGGTTTATTAGCAATTGAGAATCATGAACACAACCTAAACTCGAGGTGCAGTGTTGCCAGGTGGTGATGTCTGGTGCTCCAGTGTCCCGCCCTGTGGTTCCCCCCTAGATTTCAGGGGCCAGATGGAGCTTAGTCATCAGCCGCTCAAGGTGCCAAATGGCATTCCACCGCCAAAGGACAGACAGCATTCATCGCCGTGAAGCCTCAAACGCGCCGCCAACTTCACCACGCTCCTTTCAGCCAAGCCAAGCTCGACTTTTTGTGTCTCTATTCTCTTCAATCTCCCCCCTTCTTCGATACCGAAACCTTTCTCCGACCGCAACAATGGCAACCAACAAGTACTCGGTCATCCTGCCGACCTACAATGAGCGTCGCAACCTGCCCATCGTCGCCTGGTTGCTGAACCGCACCTTCACCCAGCAGTAAGTGCGATCCCCCCATCCCTGACTTCCCCTTTCCTCCAATAGACATTCTTTCTCGGCGTACTATATATTGACAAACATCCCCTCCCAACAGCAAGCTCGAATGGGAACTCATCATCGTCGACGACGGCTCCCCCGACGGTACCCAAGAAGTCGCCAACCAGCTCGTCAAGGCCTACGCCCCGCACATCATCCTCAAAACCCGCACCGGCAAGCTGGGCCTGGGAACCGCCTACGTCCACGGCCTGCAGTTCGTCACCGGCAACTTTGTCATCATCATGGACGCCGACTTCTCCCACCACCCCAAGTTCATCCCCCAGATGGTCGCCCGCCAAAAGGAGGGCAACTACGACATCGTCACGGGCACCCGCTACGCCGGCAACGGCGGCGTCTACGGCTGGGACCTCAAGCGCAAGTTCGTCTCCCGCGGCGCCAACCTCTTCGCCGACACCGTCCTGCGCCCCGGCGTCAGCGATCTGACGGGCAGCTTCCGCCTCTACAAGAAGAGCGTGCTCGACAAGGTCATCTCGAGCACCGAGAGCAAGGGCTACACGTTCCAGATGGAGATGATGGTTCGCGCCAAGGCTATGGGGTGCTCTGTCGCCGAGGTACCCATTACCTTTGTCGACCGCGTCTACGGCGACAGCAAGCTCGGTGGTGACGAGATTGTCGAGTACGCCAAGGGTGTGTTGTCGCTGTGGGCCAAGGTCTAAGGGAGTCTCCTTGGGAAGTGGAAGAATGAACATGGAAAAGGGAACGGGAGAAGAAAATTAGAAGTGATACGATACCGAGAGTTTTTGTTTGCTGCTGGACACATTTGGCATGAATTGGGCGTTGGGGGACGACGGGAATCCAAAGTACCGATACCTAATTATGAACAAGTCGCATGAAATCTACAATTTGGTTCAGTCATGTGAAGGGGGCCGTCATATGCCCCGAGATTACTAACTACATCCACTCCGAACACAGCTTTTTACATGTTCCGACCACCAGTCACCATGATCGTCTGGCCGCTCACGTAGCTAAACAGCGGACTAACAACAGCAAGCACCGCGGAAGCCGCCTCAGTAGGCGAGCCAGGCCTCCGCAACGGAATATCAGCATGCGCATCCTGCTCAGCCGCCCCAGCCTTCTGCGCCTGTGGAATCCCCAGCGCAATCTTCTCGCCATCCGGCCCGGTAATAAACGCACCCTTCTCCTTGGCATCCGTCAACCGCGTCTTAATGAACCCAAACGCAACAGTATTCGCCCTGACGCCAAACGCGGGGCCCCACTCCTTGGCAATCGTCTTGGTCAAGCCCGTGACACCGGCTTTCGCCATGGCGTAGTTCGCCTGGCCCGCGTTGCCGTGGACGCCCGAGGTGGAGCTGATGTTGACGACGCAGCGGTTCTCGCCGTCCTTTACGCGGAAGTAAGGGGCCGCAGCGCGGACGAGGCGGAAGGGTGCGGTGGAGTGCAGTGCGATGATGGTGTCCCACTGCTTGTCCGTCATCTTGTGGATCACGCCGTCCCAGGTGTAGCCGGCGTTGTTGACGATGTGGTGGATCTTGCCGCCGCCGAACTCTGCTGCTTTGGCGACGAGGGTGGTGATGTAGTCTGCTGAGAGCATGTCGCCGGGGACACTGATTGCTTGGCCGCCTGCGGCGGTGATGCTGTCTGCGACTTGCTGTGCTTTTTCTGTTTGATATTGTCAGTTATGAGGAATTGTTGGGTGATAGAGACTGAAGAGCCATACTGCCGTCAATGTCGGAGACGACAACCTTTGCGCCCTCGTTGGCAAAGAGCCGCGCGGCTTCGGCGCCGATTCCCTGTCCGCTGCCGGTGATGATGGCAACTTGGCCGGCGAGCATACCCTTGGGGTAGTTCAGGTGAGATGCGATTTGCGCTACACGGTCCGACATATTGGTGATGGTCTCAAAGTAGTTGACTTGTCTTCAATTGATCGAGGTCGTGGTTAAGAAGCTGGTCAAGCTCAAGTGACGATATGGTGCTACGCAGTATATAATTCAAAGGCGGGAGTGAGATTTGAGAAACAGCTCTGCAAGGGTTGAAATGTCATTGGAGCTCCAAGGTGAAGACCCCCTGGGCTGCCGAGGTTCCCCGCGGTTCTCATTCCCGGCCCTAGACGAGGTGACGAGGTACCGGTAGTGGGGTAAGAACCGTCGGGGCCCAGGCGACGAAATCGCTGGACGCATTGGATGACATAGCTCTAACGAGTCAACAGTGGAGGCCAATGGGCAATGATGGAGGTGAGTCTTCGTGGCTGTATGTGTAAATCATTGGAGTGATTGAGACTGTTTCTACAACATGAACATCAGAAAGAGCATTTCGTGTTCTCACATCAATTCGTGGAAGTGACGTTCTGGTGGCACCCCAAGCTCGAGCCTTGGCGCCCCGGTTTGGGGATTAGATAAGATAAGGGGGAAGGTGGGATGTCTCCGTCTCTGTTTTGACGACATGCCTCCTGCGCCAGGCCGTCCAACACCCCGTCTTGCCAAGCCTCGAAGCCCACCAGTCTACAGCCATGTCAACCAGCGGAGGTCGAGGAGGTCGAGGAGGAGGGGGAGGGTATGCAGCAGGAGGAGGAGGAAATTGGAGAGCAGGTGGTAACAGAGGGTTTCGGGGCGGGAGAGGTGGAGGAAGAGGAGGAGACATAGTAAGAGGCGGCGGCGGCGGTAGTGCTGGTGGTGGTCCCGGCCGAGGAGGCCGTTCACATTCAGGACCATGGGGGAGACTCAAGCCCGTCGACTTGGATCCTCTCGACGGCTACGGTCTTCCATCAAAGGGTGACACAAGGTACGGCCTGTAACTCTGAGCTCCGTTATTCACGAACCTATGCTGACCCATGCGCCTCCTCAGACTCCTGACCTTCAAGACGCAAGAACAATACTACACAAAGATCGTCGAACGGTACATGACATTCTGCTCCGACGCCGGCGAGCGCGACGAACTCCTCCGCCGCTTCGCCTCCCTCGACATCGCAGACTACCCCTCCGTCTCCCCTGCCGCCTCCCCGAGACTCCTCGACGATCCCTCCAGCACAAAGGCCCTCTCGGACGTAATGATGGCCCTCCGCAAGCTCCGCGAGGGTATCGTGGCCTCGAAACGCGTAGACGACTTTGCGATCCAGGCATATCTCTTCAACATCCGCCTCTCGGTCCTCGTCAAGCACCCGGAATCCTACCACCCGGCCATCCTCCACGTCCTGCGCACCATCCACCCGGCGCGCAACCTGACCAGCGTGGAGCTGCAGGAGGTGCTGTCGTACCTCGTCCTTGACGCGGCGTGTCGAAGGGCGGACTTGGCGGAGGCGTACGCGATTCGGCACCGGTATAAGCTGCGTGATGCAAAGGTGGATGCCGTGCTGGCGGCGCTGGCGCATGATAATTATGTTGCGTTTCGGAGGGTGCAGGGGAGCGTGGATGGGCACCGGGCCAAGTTGCTCGAGTTCGCCGAGGCGGATGTGCGGACGCACGTGTTGAAGTGCTTTGGGAGGACGTATTTGGGCGTTGATCGGGAGTGGTTGGAGAAGTGTTCGGGTCAGGACTGGGAGTCGTTGACGAGGGATCACGGTGTTGGGTGGGAGCTTGACGGGGCGAGGGTTGTCATTCGGAAGGTTAGAGCAAAGTGATGGGAGCTATTGCTGGGATGGTAGATATGTTGCATTTGATACCCCTGAATTCAACAAAAGCGTCTCGAAACTCGGTATGCCTTATGGCTTCTAGCTGCTTGGTATGACAGTTAGGTCTTTAATCGAAGCTATGCCGATAACCCCGAATCCTTGTTCATTCCCGTACAGGCAAGATTATGGCATTAATTACCAATGGGATTTATTGGCATAATACTGGTAACTCAGAGCTTAAGACTCGTGACCACTTCGAATTCACTTCGTCAAAGCATGCCTAGACGACAAAATCACTGCTGTGTTTCCTCGAATCCCCAGTCATGAAGCTTGAATCTCCCGACGACGGTGTTGCGTTCCAATTCTCCCGACTGGACGACATCAGACAGTCCATCAACCGGATTCGTGTCCGCTGTTTCCTTCAATCTTGAAATGCGGCGTTCATTGAGGTAGTGCATGGCCCAAAGCCAAATAACAAACAGCATTGCACCAGTCCATAATGATATCGAAAATGCATGCTTATTTTCGAGTAATTTTAGAACTTCGTTCAGTGCAAGCATATATTCTGGGATAGCAACAGGGCTAATCGAAATTATTAGCAGTATACTAGGTCAATTTCAACAGGAAACAACTGACACAAGAACCCAGGCAATGGCGCCAGCGACACGTTCATAGCGAGTGTACCCGGAAGGTTCTTTTTGCTATCGCTAGGTTGTCCCTTTTCGATGTCGGTATTTGTCTTAGAAATTTCCATGATGCTACTAGGGTAGGTATGATAGAAGGATTGATCTGTGAGAGAGCGTATCGCTGAGTAAATAATCTCCTGGTTCGAGAGTACGTGTAGTTCAGGTTTGGCAAAAGTTGTCAACGGATGAACTCTAGAGAGACTACACACCAAATAGAAACGACGCCTGATGTAACCCTTTGAGCTCAAGGAAAAGTCTGCCGACCCATCAAGTGGTATACCCCCTATTGCGTCAGCGTGACTTTCGCCGCCAGGCTGTGCTTTCACCAACTTTAAACCCGGAAGTTGACAACAGGGTGCCCGGCCCACCTGGACACGACTGTGGTGCCTCGATCTCAATAGCCAGTAGTAGAGGTCATTTTAGGAAAAGAAAAAGCCCTTGCTTCCGATTTAGAACGCAGCTTTGGATGCATTCGGTGAACTACTTGGCTCGTAACTTCACCACTTCGGGCGTACGTTACTGGCAGAAGCTGAGACAATGAAAAGGATCGCCTGGGCCTATTGAGGAGCAGGGTTCCTTTGAGACCGAATTTAGCGCCCATCATTAGAGAGAGGCTCCCCTCAAGGTACTTATTCCTGTTTTATAAATGATATTCTATCGACTGCTCGAAAGCGTCAACAAATGAAAATATTCTTGTAAGGGGTAATCATAAATTATGGAATGATCTGATCCTACCTCATTCTTGTGCTTCCGCTCTTGAACAGTTCAAAGGTAGAGCCGAATTACAGAAATCATGTAAATCGGTGTAACGACACCATCTAGCAGGTGGTGGAATACACGCATGAAGATGAGAAATGTGCCAACTGCAAGGTCATAACCTTTCCGGGATCCTCTACAGCCTATGGTAGTAGAGACCACAGCTGAGCCTTCTTCTTCCACATCCTAGGCAATTTTCCGAAAGACGAGGGCTTCGAAGAAATTTGGTCCATAATAGACGCAACATGCTTAGCCTGATTTAAGCTAAACTTAGCGAGCAATTCAGGATGAGCCTCTAAAATGTCATGATTGCTGACAGGAACTTCTCCAAAGTACCAGGTCTCTGGATCAACGCGTTCCACAATAGACGAAATATACTTAGCCTGCACTAAGCTAAGCTTAGCGAGGAACTCAGGGTGAGACTCTAAAGTTTGATGATGGCTGACAAGGACATCCCAATCGCATTGCTTGCAGAATGCCGAGACAATGTCATCTCGGAACCTGGCCTGGTACCGATGATTGACTTCCAGCATCTCAAAGGCCTCCAAGATGCGGTCTATTGTTGCGTCTTTCGCATCGAGGGTGAACGTTCGGCGTGGGGTAAAAGAGATGCAGCCTCGGAGAGCGCAGGCTACTTGCTTCAGGAGTCCCACGTTTTGTAAAAAGTCGATAAGCTGGTAAAGCTCGATTAGACGCGCCCAATCGGCGACGAGTGGGTAATCTCTCGACAGGATGACCACCTCACGCCCCAATCTGAGACGCTTTTGCCATTGACGATGTGCGAGATCGAGGTATAAGACCATTAGATCCGGGTCAACATCGAGAAGGCGGATGGTGGAATTCCTCGATTCTTGGAAATCGTGTCTAAGGCAGGCTCTAAAGAAGTCGGAGTGCTTGGTGATGAGAGATTTCTGAACGACAAAAGACTTGTTCTCGGCACACTCCATGATAATTTGAGTTTGATCGTCGCCATCTCCACTGCTGTAATGAGATTAGGAAAGAAGGATTTATGAACAAAGGCATCGGAGCACAATACCTAATAGAAAAGAGAACTTCTCCGTCTCGATCCATCGTGGCTTCAGGTGCATTACGCATTGTATAATTCTGTGTCAAAAAGGGCCGGTGTAAGTGGCGATGAGAATGGTATTTCTTGTGTTGAGTTCTGCCCGTTATTAGTAATTGGGGTATCTGCATTGAAGAGAGGTTTGGTAACTTAGCAAGATAGGAGGCAGAAGGTACAAGAGAGGGAGGAGGTAACGGAGATATGGCCCGTTTTGGAGATCTTTACCTTTTATCTTCAATCCGGTCAGCCATCCAGGTTGATATCCGTCTAGTCATAGAAACTGCACTCTCGTTTTGGTAACTCATATGGAATCTATTTTCTTCGATAACAAGGTACCTGGGGTACTCAAAAAGAGCAGGAAAGATGATGTAGAAGCTGGATACTAAGCTGCTAATTCTTCGTGGTGATCGTCAAGCGGGCTGATTCTCCCGTCCGACCAGTAGACTGGAGAAATGCCATGACTACCCGCAGCACTCGACCAAAGCTCATTGTTCAACATGTTTATCACCGGATTTCAAGTCTATTGTAAGCTCTGTATATCTAAATGCCGTCGATACCCAATAGCCTTGCGAAATCGCTCTTTGAAATCAACCCACTCGGCATCCTGGCCTTTGTCTCGCCATGTAAATTGGAAAAAACCTGGCGAGGCGTGCGGCGGAGGCCGGAGAGGAGGCTCAGGCTGAGGTTGAAGCCTTAGAAGATGTCCTGACGGAGTATCAAGCAAAGGATGGGATGAAAATCTCAAGTGACAAGGCTGCCGCTTTTTCTATCAACGGAGTTACGGCCAACCATAGTGATCATTCAAGTATGTTCTGGTACACCGTACGGATGTCTTTTTAGTCTGAGCCACAGCTTCCCCGTTTCCAAATGACCACACTACCCCACGCTTATTCTATCCGTAATTTGTTCAAGCATGAGCTCAAACGCATCGGAGAAAACGCATCTTAGCGTCGCTTCCTGGAACTGCCTGGCTTACACCACAAAAGCACTGTCAAATCACTCTTCGCCACACTAATGCTCCCAGGATCGCCCAGGATTCTTGTGACTTCCAGTCCACCTCCTTCTTAAGGAAAGCCAAATTTAGATCATGATGATGATGACGCCTTTTGCACTGATTCATTAGGGCTGTTAGAAAACTCATATCCAGCATAATTTCGACAACTAGTGGGGACACCCCCCCCGACCTCCGCTGCGGCAAAGTAACCACTAGAGTTGAAGGACACGCAGGTCGATCCATCGTCCTCGAGGATATAGCTCGGTACTCGGAGGCAAAATGAGATTCTGAAACATGTTGTTGCTTTGATAAGATATGGACATGATCTGGTCGGTAGCAGCTCTCGATCATGCGATCGCTGAAACTCTCGCGAATCTTTTGGCGCGGTGATTGATTTTGGGTGATTTGGATGCCTCTCAACTTGGCATTATTCGCCTTCTCATATTTTGTTGTGGAAGCTGCCTTCCACGGTGATTGCGATGATACTCGCCTTGTTCAGATGTCCCAGAACTTGGAAGAGGAGGGGTATCTTCGGCTTCTTCGCAGATATATGCGCATCCAAGTCCGCACCGTCATGATTGCGTGCTGCCACTTACTTCAAGAGACCGCCGATTACGGCGTCTGCAGTCTCGATGGCAGGATAAAGAATGACGATAAAGCAATGTCCGAAGGAGACGCGCACTGGATGACACGTACATGTCTCTCATTCGGCCGCGTGAGATGAGTACTGAATGGATCTCGGAGTAAAGGAGGCAATGATGCAGTCTTCGGATTGTCATGGGCGAGCGTCTGCCATAGAGAGTGACAGGCTAAGTGCGGCCACTAAGGTTCCCTGACCTATCATCTTCTCAATTGTACCTAAGACTGACGTGCGGAAAGTTGGCATGTCGAATAAGGACGGTTTTCTAAAGAAGGAATCATATATGGTTGATTTCAGAGCACATAGTGATAACGTAAGCCCGCCGACCACTGTCACCACCACTATCTATCTTGGTTAAAGGTCCATCCTCTGAGAAAGACATAAGATTCAGAGCACATTTACCTGGCCTATTGCAATCAGGTTGCCGGTGCTCATCTTCGCTTCCAGCTTATTGATGCATGTACATGTAAGTCGATACCGCCGAGGGAGGGCCCGAATAAAACAGAACTGTGGGTGATGCTGTACACAACGTCTGTTCTGTTAAGATCTGCCTGTTTCCCAGCGATAAAAGTGCTTTCTCTAGATAAAGTGTAGAAGCTGTGCGGATACTGCCATCTTCGAAATGGTGGCCTAAGGGTAGTATGTGCCGCAACGCTGGCACGCCCTCATAGAAGGTGAAGTGTGAAAGAAGCATGAAGGTACTGCGGTCTACGTCGATACCCCCCCTATCGCTAAGACTCAACCTGATTATCCATGTTTTGTATTTAATATTCTTTTCTTACCATCTGGCCACCCCTGCCAAAGGCATTTACCAGCGACCTTGGCATGACATTTCCTTTGCCTTGCCTGAGTACTACCACAGGTCAAGGCTGAGGGTGTTAGGCAACATAGCGGTAGTTTCTGTATATATAATCTAAGCTGAGGGGGGAAGAGATTTCCAAGGCAAGACTTTGATAGCGGTGAAGCGTTTAAACAGGGCGTACGCGGGCCCAGCGCGGCAAGTAAAGGTAGGATAAAGGTATTAGCCAGGATATAACTATTCGAATCCAGCCCATAATATAGTCCTGGCTACTCATCCAACACATATCACCTGCCAGTACTAAAGAATAATCAGGTGGGAATCTACCTCCAAAAGGTTAGACATAACGCCGAGCTGAAGCCACCGTGATGATGCTGATTCTCCCACTAGGTAGCTCCATAAGCATACCGTTGCGGCGTCGTAGTATACTCCAACCTCATTAACGTAGGTAGCTACTGCTGTAATGGTCTTTGGGGATGGAAGGAGCTGAAGTAGAGGCTCTTCAGAGCAGGACTGAGAAGAAACGGCCTCGCGACTAGATAAGTGCAATGGAAAGCTAGACGAATATCGCTGTCCGGCTCTATTCCGATGCCGACCTGCGTGGCTGACTGGTGATTTCTCCTGCCTGGGATAGACGGAGCTACGTCCGCGGCAAGCGCTAAAGTACCACGTCGAGCCCCCCGTACTGTGGTACCATACATTGGAGCTCTGCTATTAATGCTCGTCTAAGGCGGTTTTGTATAACACAGTACTAGATGTCGCCGCAATAGCTTGGGAGGAGACTTGGTGCGGCATCACTGATCTATTCAGCTAGGCTTGCCAAAATCGTTGATGGGAGGAGGGAAGGAAAGCTCATACACCCGGGAGCCCCGGCTTGTATTTGTACGCAAGATCGGTATTGACCCCCCGAACTCTACTTTGATAATAGAGCTTGAAGGATGTTGTATGCCTTGGTTATGGTTGTCTTGTTTGTGTTCAATTGAAAAGGAGGTTTGTCGGAAAAAGGCCTCACAAAGAGCGACAATACAAGTGAGCCTTGCTTTCAGAGAAGTAGTCTATCCAACGTTTTATTCCTCCATTGGTAGTGAAAGTGTTGTGTTTCGACATCAGCGGTCATTAGCAACTCGGTTGACAACGGTCGTGCAATGGGTTGTCCCAATTGAAAACGGCAAACAACTTCTTGTATGAAAAATTATTGAAAACACAAGAAAGCTGAGTGAACAATCTGCTGGTGACAGTTCAGGCAACCCGAAAGCGAGCATTGTGTAATACCTATTAGAACAAAGCGTCTTGTCCACCTCATGTTTATTCTTAGCAGGTAAAAAGTGGGACCCGTTTTCTGACTCCGCAGCCACAGCTTCCGGTGATGCACGGAGTCCCTTCACTGCCCGAGCCAATCAGCAGCCCAGCTTACTAACCGGGCATTTCTCGAACATTCCCCTCCGACCTCACCGAATACCTAGCAGAAGCCGGCGACGACCTTGCCTATCCTATTCATTCTAGTGTCGCCCTCCGCCGCGAGGAACCACTATCACTATCAGCATTACTAAGTGCCGGACCCATTCGGAGACTACTGCGCAATTCGTCGTTCTCAAAACATCCATCAGAAGAAAACATGAGCGCGTTGACATCCGCCACGGCGTTCTCGCCATCACTGGAGGCCGTCAGGTTGGCCGCCAGCATGTATAATGCGGCCCGCGAAGGCAACAAGGCTGTCATTGAGGAGGGCATCCTCGACGGGTTGCCGCCGAACCTGACGAATGAGAAGGGAGACACATTGGTGCGTAGCGATGCTCACCTCAGTTGTTGTTTCTCAGCGGGGGGATGCCGTCTTCAGCGTCCGAGCCGGAGACCTTGACGATGGTTATTGAGTCACCTCATGGCTAACATCTCATCCAGCTGATGCTGGCCGCGTACTACGGTCATGCGGACGTGGTCAAGCTCCTGATCCAGCATGGAGCTGACCCCAACAGACTGAATGACAAGCGTCAAAGTCCGATCGCGGGCGCTGTCTTCAAGGGCCTGGATGCAGTGATTGAGGTAAGTTGGCGAGGGAAATCACGGGCGGGAAGAATTACTCATTCATAGTGCTGACGCTAACTCTGGCAGGTCCTCCTGGAGGGTGGTGCTGACCCAGAATATGGCAAGCCATCAGCGATCCAGTGCCTCACAATGTTCAACCAAGAGGGTAAGTGGAAGGACAGATTTGAGAACGCACCGGGAAGAGGAAAGGCAAAGGCAGTGCCTCAAGATCAGGCCGAGGAGAGGGCGCCTGAGAAGTTCAAAGCATGAGCGATACTACGAGACTCTGGTGCCTACAAGCAAGGGCACGACAATGTTTCCAACTTTAACGAAGACCACAAATTATGAGAGACAATTTTTACAATTCATTCAGCTATCTGTGCTGCTGTGATATTCTTGAAAAGATCATTTGTTCATCCCTAATGTCTCCAATCAGATCATTCTTTGAAATCCGACGATACCAAAGACTCAAAAACCATTCCGCTCGGAACCTCCTTCCATTGCTTACTCTCGTCCAGAAGTGCTTGGCTAGCCTCCCACTCCCTTCGAATAATCTGCACATGAGCATCGCTCCTTGGCGTAATCTTCGCAGGAAACGGCTTTGGCTGGACCAGAAACCCGTCAGTAAGGTCATCCGCGTCTGGAGTGATCTCGACTCCCTCAGCATCAACTGCTTTCTCAAGGTTGAAAGCCCACAGCAGCCTCGAAATACTTAGGAAGAGTGATCGATCAGCGATATGCGTTCCTTGGCACAGCCGTCGACCAGCGCCAAAGACGTAGTGATCGCGCTTCGACGGGTCTCCGTTCATCGCCGACTCGAATGAGTTCTGCTCGTCGCCTTCATAACGAGAAGGTTCAAAAGCGCGTGGATTCTCAAATCGGTTCTCATCCATGTTGATCGCCCATACATTCAGCATGACGCCTGCGCCCTTGGGAATCTTGTAGCCCATGTACTCATCGTCCTGTATGACGGCGTGCGGTAGGCCGAGGATCGCAGTCGGCATCCAACGCAAAGACTCCTTTATGCATGCCCGTATGTAGGGCATTGAGTCCCAGTCATCCATGTTCGGGAGTCTCTCGGTACCACAGACGCGATCCAATTCTTCTTGGGCCTGCTTCTGGACGGAGGGGTGCAAGACCATGGCCTGGACGAAGCCAGTCAGCGTGGACGCGGTGGTGTCCGAACCAGCCTCAAGAGCGGACCCGGATATATAGCCGGCCAGGGCGTCGGAGAAACCGAGAGCCTTTTGGCTTTCGACGATGCCCACACAGAAACAGGGCTGAGCCTTGGTCAGTACCGCATGCGCAATCTCGAATACCAGGCAGTGCTCACCTTCGCCGTGCCCTTGAGAACACGCTCTTTTGCATCCATCCAGTGACCGACGTACAGAGCCCTCTCCTCCTTATGTAACGCCTCAGCATATCTTTTCCCAGGCAACATGAATCCGAGGTTCCTCAGGTGCGGGTACACGTCCAAGACAGCAGCCGTAGAAGAACCCACGACCTCGCTCCACTTTTCGACACAATGATACAGTCTCTTGAGCTTCTCGTCATGTATGCTCGTCGTACGGAATCCAAATACCATCTGTGTCGTCAGCGAGGTCGTGAAGCGACGGATGTGTGCGACAAAGGAGTCGGGCTCTTCCAGGATTCCGGACAGCATCTGCTTGCTTTCGAGGTCTTGGTACGGTACGTAGCCCTTAGCGGCCTTGATGTGAAGGACTTGGTGGAATATCTTTCGGATCATGCGCCATGTTTCGCCGTATTGCTTTTGTTCCGTTAGCTCCTAGATCAGAAGCCGCCGTACATGGAAGGCGCGGGGCAACTCACCATCATGACGACGCGGAGATTACCGCTGACTACATTCCCAAGGTAGAGATCGGTGCGAGAGGAGTAGATGTTGCTGCGTTTGTCCAGGAGGTCCTTCACTGCCCGGTCGGAAGAGAGCACAATCATGACCTTGGTGCCGAGAATGAGCGAGTATACTGGGCTATCCAAGATCCAAATATTAGTGTACAGATACTCTGCTTCCCAGCCAGATGGGAGAGCGCTCCGTTGAACATACCCATACTCTTCAGCCCATTTCTTGAACTTATGATGCGACTGTGTCGGCGGAATCTGGTGCAAATTTCCGATCAGTGGTAACGTGGGAGGTCCTGGAGGATAGTTCTTGGGCCGTCGGCCGACATTCCGCAGCTTGAAGACGGCAATACCTAAAATCGCCAGCGGGATCAGAAACAGGAATGCCATGCTTCGAATTCGGGCGTGGAAGATTCCCGTGAACGGTCAGTGGTGTAAAATGGAAGGAGCGATAGGGAAGGATTGAAGTAGAGAAAGACCGAGAGGGCGACAGCGAGTTCCAATTTCAATTGCTAGCCATCATCTGCTCTGCCGACTACTATGCGGGGAGTCGACGGCAGCTCACATATCATCATCTCGGCTTAGTCGTGCCAAGTGTGCACCCCTCATCGCAACTTCATCCACGTATGCCGAATGGAGCACATCAGTAACCAATGCTGCATTCTACGTAGGTAAGCGGACCCAGAGACATGAAGAAGTTCCACTTTCTTTTGTTGGTACCGTGATGTGACAGACTACGACTTAGCTCTCCATTGAGAATACGAAGGAGTAAGCTGCATGACAGCCTGTTGGCTTCACATGCAAGCAGCCAATGATCCGCGTGTGATATTCCAGCTACGGAAATGCGGTGTAACTGTCCGATGCATCACTGTCAAGGCTCTTTCAGATACCTGCTCCAACGCCAATCGTCGGCAAGAAGAGAAATTGACGACAAGTACGCAGGACAAGTGCTGATGTTTTCGGCACTCACTGAGGTTGATATGTGGAGCATTGCGCAAATGCACACTCGTCATAATAATACTTGCAAACTTTGCAGGTATTCTTAGGGTACCGTATTATTGCAACTGGATACTCTTGCTGCTGGGCACTGGGCATTAGGAAAGCATCATACCACTGTAGAAGAACCAGGATGTTCAAAGCTACCACAGATACTCGAGATGACGCAAAGTTTCCCTCGTTAACTCGACCGCCAGGAGATCTAGCTCGCAAGAGAACCGAGCGCTTGTATTTACTTCCAAACAGGGCCTGGAACGATTGCGTTCACCGTTCTCAAAGCGCTTTGCTCGCGTTCAAATATTGCAGACCTAGCGACCTGAAACGTATGTAGACCGAGTATTTATTTCGACAAAAAGCCAAAACCATCTGTGTGCGTGAAATGACTATGCCATGGAGGAAGGAAAGCCAAGCGAGAGAGCGGTCGCTCAAGGTCCTCTGTGCTCTTTGATTCAGCGCGTGTCTTTCTATACATTACGTACTCACACGGGGCTGTTGGTCTGCTTAAATATGTTCCTCAAGTGACTTACCGGCACGACTGTCGACACGCATGGCGACGGAGGCACTGAAGATCTCAAGAACCCAGTGAGTACGTACATCAAAGCTGCGGACACGGAAGAAGAGGCTGGATAATAGTCATTGCGTAAATACCCAGTCGCCACCATGGTTCCTTACAGTCTTGAGAGTGTTTCGTGAGGGGTATGAGAGGAATGTATTTTAAAGTCTTGTCCCGTTGTGTTGAGTTCAAAAAACGAGTTGATAGCCCAATCATAGAGAACCTGGATCTTTTCCTACTTCCAACTATCCACTTCCGGTCATGCTCAAGTGATGAGCTGTAGTCCCAGTCCTCAATGATCTCGGCGCATGCCATCTTCGCCATAATCTCCGTCCTCCTCCTCATCGTCGTTCTCGTCAGCTTCATCGCTCTCGTCATCATCGTCGTCCTCGTCATCTTCATCGCTCTCGTCATCATCGTCGTACTCATCAGTCTCAATGTATCCATACTCGATAATCATCTGTTTCTCCGCTTTAAGGCGCTCCACCTTGGTGCCGAGAGATCTGGTCTTCTGCAGGAGAGTAGCCATACGTTGAGTCGTGGCCATCAGCACGGCCTCCAGAAAAGCCTCTCCCTTGGTAGTTGTGCGGGCGAAAGCGTAGGTTTTGTCAATATCGATTTGTTGACAGCAAACCTCCGCAATCTGAGACTGGAGATAGGCCTCATCGGGAATGCTGGGATCCAAGGTGTCATATGCGTTCTTGTATGTGTTGAATAGCCATTTGATACCCTCTGGCGATGATTTGTCCACCATCTTTACTGCTTCGTGCTGCATGTAGCCCAGGATAGACTCGGCCAGTTCAACACGCATAGGCTCGTTTAGCAACCGGTCGGAAAGTTGGTAAACTTCAATCACGGTGATGAAGTCTTCCGCATTTTCCCCATACCACTTGGTAATAGCTATGAATTCATCCATTGGATTGCCGGTAGTCGTCATATCGACGACGCGTAGGTAAGCCTCGAGAACCTCTGGCTCGATATCGTCAAACTCTATGACGGAAGTTCTGCCCTCAACAAAATTGGAGCCGTTGAGGCATGCTCTGAAGTAGTCAGAGTCCTTGACCAGCTTTGACTTGCTGAAGGTGAAGACTTTTTCGCCGCATTTGAGGGTGACGCGCTCGGCAGAATCACTAGGAGAACAACGGGTTAATGAACAACAACAAATAATTTCCACATCGAGGTGCCGTAACATTGAAAGCTGAACCTACGGATTCGATGGCCGTAATGCCAAATCCTCATCGTCGACATCGGTAGGCAGCGGGATGCCTCCATCGATGTGAGAAGCATGGGAGTCGGCCATCTTTCTCGAGTGATTGGGGGAAATTGACTCTGGTCGGCAGGCAATGAGAGTGGAGACTTGGTGGTGAGAGGAAAAGGTTTTGAATTTATAAAAACCCAAGAGAACAGAAAATAAGGAAGCTACGGAAAAACACCTGGGTTGGGAAGGAGGGAGCGTGAGGTCGTTTGGGAAGGAAGGTAGGGAAACAGGAGGCAGGCAGGTACCGGGAGTACAGGCACCACAAGACACCTCCCGTCAGGCGAAAATCGGACAATGAATCACTTAGCTCTATGTATTGCATTATTCGTTTGGGATCTTTAATCCTCACAAAACACAGCAGATGTTCTTGTATGTAATACGGACAAAGATATTGTAAGATACACTTCGTTCTGGAGCCACTGCTTCTTGGATAATAACACAAGGCCGCTCCCGTCACCGTTCCTCTGTGCCTTTCCCAACCGTACCCTGCCTTATTTTCTGTTTCTTACGACCCGTACCGACGCCTGCACCCCCATTCTCCAACGTGGTCAGATCAACTTGAGGCATACTCGTTCATCGTCCAAAGATTATTGTCGACTAGTCCCCACCTTCCGTCATCAAGAGGGTCTTCGTCTCCAAATTCAAGCCCGGGAGGATCGAAGTGTGAGAATCTGTCTGGTGAACTTGACATCACGGCGAGTCGCGCCCTCTCGTTGATTTCTTTGCAAGCACTGTGAATTCTCTTGAGTCTTCCGTCATCTGTAGCCTTGATAAGACGCTCGAGTAAGAGCAAGGCTGATTCGACGTTGCTTTGATCCGTCAACCGACACGGGTTATCTGGACAGGCCAGGTTGTTGACGGTGATGAACATGATACTTGTCAGGTAGCCGCACGACACTAGCCTGCAACGGAATAGTCAGCAACAACTGTGAGGAGTGAAGAAGGAAAGCCCAAATACCAAGTGAGAGCAGAGTCGTTCTCGGGTGTTGCAGCATAGAGATGCATGCAAGTCCGCGCCTCCGTAACCAGCTTGTCCCAGCAGTTCGGAAGCCGTGCTGCCAAGTCGGAACGCGCTGCGGGAGTACTTCCCTTGTTACAGCTGAGCAGTCCTTGAAGCCACTCGAGATGGTGCGAGTCTGCGTAGTGCGTTGTCGCGATGAGCTGCAGGTGGGTGTAGTGAAGTAGGCAAATGTATCGAAGATACTCCGTGGCCACGGTCGCTGCTGCAAGCTCTGGCTGGAAGTCGATGGGTATTGAGTCTTGCCAATTTTCCAGCATCTTTCGGATGCGAAGCATGTTCTGAGACTTTTCTTGGTCTGACAGCTTGAGAGCTCGAACTGAGAAACACATGTGGTATAGCTTTCCCTGAATGTAGGCAAGCTGAACAGTACTGCGGAAGTAATTGAACTTTTGGCCAGAGAAACCCATGATCATACCTACATCATCTGGAGGGCTTAGAGATGGGATGTCCACGTCGATATCTGACTCCTGATGCATAGGCGGCTGCGTCAACCTCATGGATAGGTCGCGGTCGAGTATGAAGGCGATCCAAAACACCCGGCTCCTCTGCAGAGCCTCGGCCGGCTCAAACTCCTGCGCCGTAGACTTCGTATGAAGTCTAAGGCCCTGGCATAGCCTAATTGCAGTTGCTATAAGTATGGACGCCGGGCCTTGGTCCGCTGAGCCATGGAATACCAGAACCAGTCCAAGTAAAGTCTGCAAGACCAGCATGCTCGGCTCTTTGATGACCAACCTGTTTAGGACGGATTGGACGTTATCGATATATCGCTGCATATTCTGCGTCTCTTCGTAGCTTGAAGCGTAGGAATGCCGGTGTGCGAGGGCCAAGACGACATTGATGGCGGCCCAGACGTCTGACTTACGGTGCGCCGGGTATGCGTACCAACTTCGCAGCATCTTGACAAAGCTTTCTCGCTCAAACAGAGGGAGCACTTGGTTCGAATTCTGGAAGTAGTCTTCTATTGAAGGCAGGATCTGACGCAGGGGTGGAAGTATTTTGCCAAGCTCGTGACCCGAGATGCTTGAGCCTGGATTGGTAGAGGACTCGGGTGATTCGTTGAGTATTGAGTCAGTATTTGTCGCCCAGAGATTGTGCTCCTCTTCAGAGATACTTGCAGCCGAACCCGGCTCCAACGAAGTCAGTGAGGATTCTGGGTTGGCTGCCTTGGACGAGGGTTGTTTTTGGGCCTCCAGTTGAGCTAGCCTTGCTTCCAGAATTTCTATCTTCTTGGCTCTATGACGATTATGCTGTCAGTCGATCGATGTTTTTGGCGGAGAACTCGAAAGTGAGGACCTACTGATTTGACTTCACAGCAGCCGCCCTCGTCGGGCCCGTATAAGTGCACTCTGAGTTGTATAACTTGCAACCGGAACATCGGGGCTCTTTTGCATCACATTTGATCTTCTTAAGATAACACAAATCGCAGGCCTGTATGGTTCAGGTTCATTGTTAGTCCTAATAAATTGAAGGCTGCATCCGCCCGGCTCAGTAGGTGCTTGATGCTGGAACCACTCGCCTTTCTCCTCCTAATTCTTTTGGGCTTGGATGTCTCCATCTTTTCCGTTAAGCGTATCTGGGTCTTCGTCCAGGCTCTGTCGTTCGGTGCGATGTAAAATAAACCACTCTGACGATTCAGTAATGGAAGCCACGCTGCGATAAGCTCTTCGTTTCCTCTTGGATGGGGCCAAGTGGTTAAGTAGATTATGGTTTTGGCTTGAAGCAGGGACTCGGGAGGTAGTTTGACGAGACCCCGCTTACAAATGAATGAACTAATCCCAACAGGGTTAAAGACCAACGAGCAAAATCCTTTGTACGAATTACTCCAGGCACCTGGATAACAATCACACAAGTTCTTCCTTAAACCTGCATACTGCTGTGCCAAAACACTCTAACCCTTGCGGTATTGGATAGGCGTCTGGAAATAGGACATAAGCTGACGAGCCAGAACAGCCAAAAGCAAAAGACGACGTTGGCCTGATTCGAACAGACGCTCCCGAAGGAACAAGATTTCTAGTCTTGCGCATTAGACCACTCTGCCACAACGCCGATTGGTCAACTCTTTGAGGAGTGGAGATGCTCATTGTGACCTGGATTATGGCCTATATTGGATTTAGGATTGAAATGGACGAACGCGATGTCTTCTGCGCGCACTCACGGACGGCTCGAACAGTGTTTGTTTATATCCATGGTTCGGATGACATCTCTGCGATGTAACTCAAACTTTTGCCATACCATTCCCTGGAAACTCTATTCATTGCTTGTACGCACGTACCCTTCGCCTTACCTTCAATAGCTGATTGGAGATGCGGGGCACAGGTTGTTTTGCCCATCTGTCTTCATACAATGAAACTCATATCACATCAGTCACGGCAATGAGGTAACTTCTATATTGAGAAGCCGTGGGTTTCCCGGGTTCTACTTACTATGTTCACAATGTAAACAGCCAAAACATTTGTGCACTTGCTAAATCTCAATAGGGTTACGGGGCACGCCCACAGTCTTTGGATGTGCAAAGTTTCGCTGCTTAAACAAGCCTACACATCATGCAAGTCGTGGCGTTGCACTTCGTGCAGAAAAACTTCGAACCAAACTCTTCGCAAATGGGACAGCCGGGGGGTGCAAGACATTTGTTCGTTGAATGCCATCCTTTCCACCCATGAGGCCCATTGTCCATGCATCCCGGCTGTCGCCCAGAAGTGACAAGTCGCGCCCTATTGGGCGGACTGCGCATTTTCAACTCTCTTGGCTCCACGGCTTCGTTGAAGATGTGCGAGTTCCTAGTGTAAACGTCAGTAGTAGCAGCCCGATCTCGAACTTGGTAGTCTTTGGGAGTTTTGTGAAAGTCTTCATAGGTCGTTGGGGTCTGTTCTTCTGCATAGTATTGCTTCTGAGGCTGATGAATTTGAGGCCGTGGCATTGCCGGCTGCTGGTAGAAGCTCTCTGCTTGGGGAGTTGCGAGCACTTCAGGCCACCGAGACTTTTGTCGCGCTTCAGCCTCTTTCACCTTGTGCGCGGTTGTCTCCAGAACCGCTTCTAGTCTCTCCTTGCCTTTCTTCAGCTTTTCTTTCAGCTTTTGTTTGACGCCTGCAAATGTGACCTCCGGTAGGGCATCGCCATCAGACGTGCGTCTTTCCCACGCCGAAAACCTGCGGAGGCGCAAGCTCTTGGCCCTGACCACTGGTTGTGTTGACTTGTCGTATCGTGTGCGCAGAACGGGATCACTGAGAACTTCGTAAGCCTTTGTGATCTGCATTTGGTGGATTGAAAACTGTCGGGTTGGCATTCCGTTGAAATCTTGGTTTCTGGACGAACCAGCCATGCCTGTACTTTGAGATCTCCCTGCTCTGTCAAGTGCTTCGTGCTGACTATACTGACGAGCTTTTCCCACCAGGCCATAGAACGCATCTTCGATGCATTTTGGTGTCGCGTCATTCCCGATGCCGAGAATACTGTAATGGTCGATGGGCGTTGGTGGATCCATTGTTTTGATATACTTCAGTTAGACCCCCAAATACGGTGCAGGAGAAGCGCTTGAAATTAATTCATACGTTGAAAATGGGTTGAAGAGGGGTCAAGACTTGCTCTGGACTGGAAGCATTTATAAGCACCCTGTGGGGATGTCCATGATACTCAAATATTACCAGCGACCACGGAAATCATTGAGAGAGTCCTGAGCAAAGTTTATCAGGTCAACAGACTCAAATCAGCTTCAGCATACAATGAGCTTTCACCAGAAAGTCGTCTCATGGCATGAGTACAATGAAGATAATGAAGATGTTTGTTGACATCTTGGCGTTGAACCCCAGCCAAAGAAAGCAGGCCCACTGGTTAACAAACACCTCGCTGAACAATAGAGGCTCGAAGAAGTAGTCAACTGAAGTTCGGCAAAAGCTTTCCTTGTCTTTTGCATTCTTCAAGTTCTTGTCACCCTACTCGAGAACAAAAGAATACATTGCATGGATCAGGAAATGAGCTGCAAAAGGCAACAGCTTCAAAAGGAAAGCGTCGATAGCACAACCTGGTTTCGATCCAGGGACCTCTGGGTTATGAGCCCAGCGCTCTACCCCTGAGCTATTGTGCTTGTTCTAGTTGTTGAATGGCGAAGCTCATTTTGATTTTAAGAATGTTGTGGGAAGGGTGGATGAAAGTGTGACCCACTCAAGGGCCGCAAACTTTGCTGGCCCACCAGCTAGTGTGGCAGACAACTTTGGCCTCAGAGGCCTCAGTGGAACAGTCATGCCACGACTTCGACTAATCAGGGAAAGCTGTCTGACTCTTATGATGGACCTGGACGGATAGACGGGTCTCTCGAAAGCCATAGCCTACCGCTCGTGGACATGGAGGCAGGAAGGCCGACCCAAGCGTTCGGGCCTCCGAGGGGCCGGTCCCACCGGAGATAGGTCCGGCAAAGTGGCCGAGTGGGCGTCGCATGCGTGCACATCTGGAGAAAAGGGACAGAGCCACGTTTCTCCCCATATTATTGACAGGCTTTTACATAATTGTCTACCAGTCTTTATCTATCTACCAAGCCATCTCATGTTGACTCAAGGTGGGCTTTGCGGGGTGAGGATCCCCGACGTTATCTTGGGGCGGATACTGTTCGTGGTGTTGGAGAAAAGGCCGATCACATTTCCCGAAGCCATCGGGAAAACGCCACGACTACGGAGGATGACCGACGTCACCCGATGCAGTCAGCATCCGGTCAACGGCCGGAGAGCCATCTCCTGGATGCGGGTGTTTATATCCGTCTCATAGCTAATGCCATGTTTGCTCTTATCGCAAGCAAGCTCATTCGAATTCACCAAGAGCTGCGAGTGCATCATCAACATTTGATCTAGACATCCTCGTCAACTGAGCCTTAAAGTTAGTTAGCCAAGATGATAACTCCTGTAAGTGGGCTTTCGAGTAACATAACAATCGTAAGGTATTTATTACTGACAATTTTCAGAGATGGAAACGGCTCGTGAGATTCATCGCAGAAGACGATTGGAGGGAATATATCGGCGAACCAGTCGATGAGACTGTTGATGGTATGGATGCTTCTTCCTTATCAAGTAAAATCGTATTCTCTGACACTCTGAATAGTTGGAGCTGCTCTGGCCGCATCTCTCCCGGTTCCGGCACGAGTTTTCACTGGAACCTCAGCCTTGGACGCCTCAGCAGAGCCAACATCAAGGATCCTCAACGTTCAGAAACTCCTTCCGCCCCTGACGCGCAAAGAAATCGGTACAATTCGCTGTATCGGCCTCAATTACCGCAAGCACGCCAAAGAGATGAACCTCGACCTCCCAGAGCACCCGACTCTCTTCTTCAAGCCCGCAAGTTGCCTCAACGCGTCAAACGCACCGCTCCTCATCCCCCATCAAGCAACGGATCTGCAAGCGGACTACGAAGCTGAGCTAGCCGTCATCATTGGCCGCGACGCGAGGAATGTCAGCGTGGAGGATGCCATGGGCTACGTGCTCGGTTACACTTGTTCCAACGACGTCACGGCGCGAAAGCACCAGTTCGCTGGGGCTCAATGGGGGTTCGGAAAGGGATTCGACGGCTTCGCTCCGATGGGTCCGTGTATCGTCAGTGCAAGCAGCGTTCCGGACCCATCCGTGATTGAGCTAAAGACGGTCCTCAACGGCGAGGTAATGCAGGAGGGTAGAGGGGACGACATGATCTTCTCCATTGCCGAGATCGTGGCGTATTTGTCTCAAGGCACGACGCTGGAGGCCGGGACTGTGATCATGACGGGGACCCCCCACGGGATCGGTGTGAGTAGGACTCCACCTGTTTTCTTGGCTCCTGGAGATGATCTCCGCATCGTGATGAGCCACGGCCTAGGAAGTTTAGTTAACAAGGTGGAATATGAGGAGAAGCCTCAGAAGAGCACGATTGGGGCAAATGGGGTTAGAGCGGTGAACGGTGTGAATGGAATGAAAGAAGTCAAGGTCAATGGATTCTATTAAACCGAGGGAGCCCTCTTAGAATATTGCAAAATGAACAGCGCATATTTGTCCACTGGAAATCACAACTCTTAGTTCTTTATTACATCGAGATTTACGTCTCGATGGGATCGCTAGTCAACTTCAGGGGGTAGTATGATCTATCTTGCTTCCAGGCCTTAACTCCCAGAGCCATGCCGCTTAGATAAGTATACATGCGTTGTTGGAAATCCCTCCGCCCTACACGACTTAGAGTTTCCAAATCCCCGGAACTACGACTTGCTACTCCACGGATAATGCGGATATGCATGGCCATAATGTACATGCCTTGCGGAGCAACTCCGACTTCCGGGGCTCCTAAGCCTTACAAGGCCAAGAATCGGCATAGACGGGCTTCTACATTGTCCGAAGAAATGGGGCTCAATATGCGTACGGATACCGCCAATAGGTTTCTACGGAAATTGAGGTCCCGTACGCTTAAATGCAATGAGTTGTGCAACGAGTTGCGATGATGTTGCCATCTTCATCTGAATGGATTGGATGCCTAACGAATAGGGTATAGTTGTGTGTTGATCACTTCTCTAGACAGAGAACTTCCCAGCGCGTTAGCTTGAACTCTGGTAAGAGTGGAATACGAGTATTTTAGGTCGCCGAGTCGCGCCCTTGAAAAGTGGCCCAAGACTCAGTTAAATTATACTCCATAATCGCGGGACCTTGCCCTGGCTATCCTAGTAGGAAATTGTATGAAAGCTTAAAAGAGGCTTTGCTGGCTACGAGTAAGGTACGGATACAGGTCGGTTCGTCGTGCAAGTGATACTTAGAGTACTGTGCTCACCTGCGCTGACTCGCAGCAAACCGAGACCGACACCGATACTCGGACAGAGCGTATTGTGGACTGTAAAACAAAGTCAAAATAATTAAATACAGCATCAGCTTTTGAATGAGATTGATTGTTGTCAGCCTCCGGGGCAAGAAAAATTATGCCCACCGCAACGACCGGGGAAAGCAGTGCCGGACGCCGAATGGCAATGATGCCGTATCTCAACATATCAGAAGTACAAATACCTAGCTGGTCTCAGTAATCATAACAGATGAAGTTCCTCATCAACAGCCAATCAATCAGTCCAATACTCGCTCTTTCAACCAGCAACCAGCAACCAGCAACCCAACCACCCAGCCAGTTCTCCAGAAACTAAATAACCCAGCCGCCATCATGCAGTTCTCTACTATCACCCAGCTGATCCTCCTCGCCACCGCCCCTCTGGCTATGGCCAGCGTTGCCGCTGAGCGCACCAGCAGCAACAGTGTCTTCGACGTCCGTATGGAGTGTATTAAGAGCAACTGCGGTGGTGTTGGAGCCGCTTGCGCTGGTGCCTGGGTAAGTCACACTGCCAGCGGCCTGCTGGAATGTTCATCGTTCACGAAAGCTGCTTCAAGACTAGAAGTGGCCTTGTAGATGAACTTGTTCGTTTGAGAGAATTGACTAACTGTTTGAGTAGTGCTGCGTCCGCTACAACAAGGATGGCTGCAAGTGCATTGCGCCGGGTGACATCTCCGAGGTAAGTCTATCCTCTTCTCATAAAGACTGTTTTTACATACTAATCGACTACCTCAGAACGGAGATAAGTGCCCCGCTGCGTAAGGGAACTAGGGAAGGCTACTGTACTTATGACGAGCGGCAAAAGCGAGTGGGGGTGTCGAAGAATTTAGAGAGCAAAATAGAGCATATGAAATTTCAACAGTATCTTTCCAAGAAGGTTCATATTCCTGGTGCACTATTTAGCAAATCGACTTGACAGGTCGTGTTTGATACTCTTCTGCGCATGATCTTCCGAACCAACGCTGGACGCCTGGGATCCATGCTACTGTTGGACTTAACTTGGTCTCAACAGCGGACACTCGAACTCTACTAGGTAAACTACTTCGGATGATGCGATGTTCGGTTCCGACACCGAGCAATAGCTGCAACTGGACTGAGCTTGTCTTACAGCTCTTGCAATGGTCTAGACTTGGCTTTATGATTTCCTCATAATTGATCTTTAAGCTATCATTCTTGAATTCGTGCTCAGATTACATGCTTGCTTGATCATGCATAAGAGTGTTGATAACATGCTCCCATTGAGATAAGTCTCCGCTCTCAGGAAGAAAGAATCCAGGATCGTCCCATGTCATCTGTGCGCTCGTCGTGCTGTAAGGAAGGCCCAAGCCAGCCATCAGAGGGTCAAAGTCGGGACTCTCGACTGGCAACTGAGGTTGTGTCTCCATTACTGGCGGTTGGCCAACCGGCTGAGAGAAGCGCCTGCTAGGTGAAGCTGACGCTAGAGCTAGCGGTACTAGGGTGTTGGCTGGTGGCGGGTGAGACTGCCTTGCCTTTTTGACACAGAGCTCAACTATTTTGACTTCAGCGAGGGCAAATTCATTGAGCCAGACGTCATTTCTCTGCATCTCGCAGTATGCAGATAAATCCTCGAGGATAGCCTGAGAACGCCGAGAATGGGGGTCGCGGACAGCAATAATACCCAGTACAAGAGCACTGTTGAAGAGGTTGTGTGGTCCCAGACTCCACTTCAGCCTGTCGTTAAGAGGTTGGTTGAACATCTTTAGACCCATGTCAAGGTCTGCGCAGGCGGAAGCTATGCATACGTCGTGGCTATGTCTGTACCGATTTGTGATGGACTGACGGAGAAGGAAAGGCCGGTGTAGTGTGACTCTTGCGAAATGGTACATGCTGTGCAGATGTAGTCTCTGCCAAGGGAGGAAAGGGAGGCGGTCGTCCTTGGAAATGTCCGGGTCCTCCAACTCGAAATATGGTGGTAATCTGCCTCTCCAAGTATCGATCTCTTTGTCGAGCGTGAGAACAGTCTCGTAGGAGACTGTGAACAGACCGAAACATCGCTCTTGAATCTTGCCTACGACCACGGCAAGTTCGTGAGCTAGGCGGCTGAAGACACTCGCGGTTGGCTCTGAAAGAGGTGCTTCTGGGGCCGAGGCGGCCTCCTCGTCATCAAGGTCGTCTAGCCAAACATTGGAGGCCTGCTTAACAAGACACTGTTGATCAACAATCGCAAACGGTCGTCCGAGAGCTAGTGCTATGGTTTTGTCGAGCATGTAGAGATTGCTCCATAGCCGTCGTCTAGTCTCTGTTTCTTTTCTTGGAAGTCTCCACCGTTCACCGTCGATATGCATGCCCTGCGCCTGAGCCATCCTCATAGCGAAGCTCGTTGTGAGCCAGGACTCCGGCACACGGCGGGTGTAAATGAGATACCGAGTGACCAAAACACCAGCTCGCACGAGATCCGTCGACTCGCCGTAGAAAGTCGGGGCAATCACAATGGCTCTTCGGGCGGCCCAGTAGAACCGTTGAGACGTGTCGTAGACCTCTCGCTGAACCTCCCTGTTCCGTGGTCTTGGGCAATCTAACAACACCCCATACGCCAAGACGATGAACAGCAAAGCCAGCCAGCGAAGGTCAATCGTAGCAAAATCATCAAAGCCGAACTTGCGAGACCAGAAGTTTTCGTACTTGGCTTTGAAAGAGGTTGGCTGAACCGCGTCAATCGCCCAGTTGAGTTCGTTTAGGAAGCATTCCGTCAGCCTGTCGACTGTGGACTTCTTGCGCGGCAGCAGTCCCAGAAGATCCCAAATCTGAGAGAAGGGACCATTCTCCTCTCTGAATGAGTGAGTTGATCCCGCCTGGGGTTTTGAGCTGAGCCCAGATGATAACTCTGGAGCGGGCGCTTGGATGATTTTTGCGGCGGCTTGAGGGCCGAAATACGAAGAGCCGAAGAAGGATGGCGCATCGCGGCTTTTGAAGAGATTACCGACAAGGTTTTCTGAAGGCTGGTCTTGGCCGCTACTCTCGCCTTGCCGCCCTCTGCCACGACTTGAAGATCTTGATGGAAAGGCTCTAGAACCCGAGGAGCTATCAGGTTGCTCAGCATCTTGTGCAGGGATTGCGTTCGTGGAAGGAGGTGAGACTGGGGTCGCAAGGTTGGCGGTTGGCGAAGTCATGAGAGAATCGCGGTGGCCTTGAGACACTCTTGGGCCATCGTCTTCGACTAAGTGGCTGTAGGAGCACGACGAGCCAACTCCTCGCCTTTCACAGTTGAAACATGGCCGCGAACCATTGCACTGATGAGGTGAAGTCAGTGAGATGATAGGATTTAATTTAGAGTCTAAGTAGGCTCTGCAAGCCGTCGTCAAATTGGGTTCAGCATTGGCGCCGTCAACTACGTTTGCACCGAAACTACCTGCTCAAAATGAAGTCTCAGCGTACTAGTGCTTCATGTAGGCTGCCGGGAAATGACGAGATGGCTTCGATGAGACTAACGTATCGTGCCAAAATGACAAGGAGACTGCAAGCTCACTCACTCTCTGCTTTCGCCGATGACACGACTCGCACGCAACCGCATGCCTACCTCGCTTCCTCTTGCGAACAATCGGACTTTTCGGATTAGTCGTCCTGGGCGTTGGGGTTTCCATTGAGAAGATGCTCGGACTGTCTGCCGAAGTATTGTCGCGTGCTTGCGAGATCGGGAAATGGGCCTCTTTTGTACCGACCAGAGGGCGATGTCGGGGTATTCATGTCATCAAAGAGACTTGGCTATCAGCCTCTCCACATTTTGCCGAAAGGAAAGGCTCGGCGCTTCCAGGCTATTCGCGGACTAAGAGATAAGAATCCTACATTCCCCGGCTTTGCCCCCGCTAGACCACAAGGATAGTCTTTTGATGTGACGATAAGCTTGCCAATTTCCCGACGCCTAGCTATGCGTGTCAGTCAAAAGCCGACTTTGTTTGATAGGCGAATGCAGTGACCTCACCGTGCCTTTGTGATGCATCCTTGGCCTAAGGTAGATATATGCCCTTTGAGGGATACTCTGTCAAGTCGTATGAACATGTCGTCAGCTCTAGACAGAGTCGCAACATATGTACATCAATTCGCTTGATCAACTTAGACGTTCCACAACCGCCGATCAAAGGACAATGTCTTCGGAAAAGATACCAATGGACGCCAAAGATGGTAATTTCGTGCCCCATTCGGCGGCCGCGAGCTCCGACCTCACGATCGATCCGGCTGCGGAAAAGCGTCTCCTTAGGAAATTGGACGCATGGCTCTCGCCGATGATGATCATTGCTTTCTTGGTCGCTTACCTCGATCGCAGCAACATCGGTACGCAACGCTCAACTCACAGGTGTACTGCAATTAACCGAGTCTAATTGGGTCTGAATCTAGGCAACGCCGCAATTGCAGGCATGACGGAGGACTTGAACCTCACGGGCAACAAGCTGAATGTCGCTGTTACTGTGTTCTATGGTACGATGCCACACCCTATTCAACGCGCGAACGAGCCCTGGCTAACACGGACTTTAGTAACTTACATCACCTTCGAAATACCGGCATCCCTGATTCTCAAAAAAGCACGACCGAGTCGACTTATCCCATTCTTCATCCTGTCCTGGAGCGCAACAGTCATCGGTTCGGCCTTTGTCACCAACTATGCCGGTCTTCTCGCAACTCGTCTCCTGATCGGTGTCTTTGAGAGTGGTCTTTTCCCGTGCCTGACGCTCTACCTCAGCACATACTACAAGCGCGAGGAACAAGCTCGAAGAATTTCATACCTTTTTGTCGCGTCTGCGTTATCTGGTGCCTTTGGCGGTCTTCTGGCCTACGGATTGACGAGCTTGCACGGTGCAAGTGGCTTGGCTGGATGGAGATGGCTTTTCCTTATTGAAGGTGTCATCTCCGTGGCAGTTGGCTTGGCCTTTATCCTTCTGCTTCCTGATAGCTTCGAGTCAGCCAGGTGGCTTACTGAAGAGGACAAGGCGTTGATGCGCATCCGAGCTGAGCAGTCCAGGGTCTACCAAGGCGAGTCAGAGACGTTCGATAAGCAAGAAGTCAAACTCGCATTCAAGGATCCCAAGGTTTGGCTGTCAGCTGGCTGTCAATTCTGCGCGAACACGTGCTCTTTCGGCTTCGGAACTTTCTTGCCAGTCATCATCCGCGGGTTTGGATACAGCAGCATCAAGACCCAGCTCCTGACTGTGCCGGTCTACATCTGGGCGTCGGCAGTCTACCTCACCATTGCTTATATCTCGGACAAGATCAACAAGCGTGCTGTGTTTATGGTTCCTATGGCTTTAATTACCGCCACCGGCTACGCTCTCATGCTTGGTGTAAGCATGAAGTCAACCTCGGTCCTCTACTTTGCGACTTTCGTCACGGCGACAGGCATCTATTGTGTTGTCGGCCTCAATGTCACGTGGATTTCGAATAGTAACGCTGGATACTTCAAGCGTGCCACGGCTATTGGCCTGCAACAAACTATCGGAAACAGTGCTGGTATCATGGCTGGACAGATCTATCGCATCACTACTTCGGACGGAAGATACACAATTGGCCATGCAGTTTCTATCTGCACCATTACGATTGCGTCGGTTGGCTACTTTACCATGTGGACTCTGCTAAACGGAATCAACAATAAGAGGGAGAACATGAGTATCGATGAGAGGTCACGAGAGATTGACTCAGGAAAGAAGGGCGATAGACACCCTGATTTCCGATACACGCTTTGAGCCATTGGGGGATTTCTCCAGTGAGCAGAATATCTTTAATGATACTACTCCAGTTACCTCATCATAACGAAATTCATGCTCGCATATCTGTAATCAAAGTTCGGGACTCCTGCCGTTATCAATGGTCCTGTGAAGTGATTAATAGTGTCTTTTGATTGTCTCTCTTTTCATGAGGTGGGCAAACAACAACGGATTTATTATAAATGCAAGGGCGAGATTATTTTGAGTCAAAGTTTGAGGCCTCCTGCATGCTGCATGAGACGGCAGCGAGTAGCAACGCAAATAGATCATGCCATCGAGATTAAGCTCTTTGTTTGGCCGGCCATCAATACTCAGAAGTGTAGGCAAAATATGGGCCACGGTATTCAAAAGCGGCCTGCTCGGAAGGCTGCCCGGCCTGAGCTGGAGGTTCGGGTTTCCATATCGTTGAGGCTTCGGCAATTTTCATACTGCATCAAATGGAGCCTCCCAGAATAAGAGACTACTACGCAGACTTGTGCATCCAGCAGTCGGCAACGGCACAGGATATACGGCGCGCGCATCGAGTGCTAGCCATCAGACTTCATCCGGATAAACAGCCGCCAGGAGCAAAAGTTGACACCGAAAAGTTCCGCATCGTAAGTTTGTAGGGCGTATTTCACAAGTTTGCTCGGCACATGACATATACTGTATCAGAGACTGATATTGGATTTCATGAACTCAGATTCAAGAGGCGTACGAATATCTTCGAGATGCATCGAGACGGAACCGATATGACATGTATTATGAGGACGTCAAAGAGAAGTGGAGAGCATACCGGGAATTTAAGAATGAAGAGTGTGAACGAGAACGTCAACAACAAGCGGAGAAGGAAGAAAGACAGAGGCAAGCCGATGAGGCTCAAAGGGCGCGTAGGAAGGAGGAGGCCAGAAAGGCCGCGGAAGAGATGGCTGAGCGACTCGGAAGGGACGCTAAGAAGGAAGAAATGGAACAAAGAGCCCGAGAGTATTGGACTAAGCTCCGAGAACGGGAAGATGCCCAAAGAAGGGTAAGAGAAGAAAATGAGTGGCGGAGAAAGCTGAAAGAGGAGTTTGCGGAGTTGCGGTCGAAGGAAGCGGCACGAAAAGCTCGAGAACAACAACAACAACAAGACGCCAAGGACAGACTCCGTCGACAGGAAGAACAGGCCAGAGAGCTCAAGCATCAACAGGAGCGCGCTGCCCAAGAGCAGCTCCATCGAAAGAGAGAAGCCGAAGCCGAGAGAAAAAGCATGGATGCCGCGGAGAGAGCGCAGAAGCAAATGGAAGAGACAGCCCAGGAGCGGCTGAAGATGCTTAACATAGAGGAAAAGCTGAGGTTTGCCGGTGGGCATTGGGCGGAATTAAGAGAGGCGGCGGATAAGCGTGAGGCAATGGCAAATTCGGAGAGGTTCAATCCTTTCAAGCAAGAAAAAAAGTGCGATCATACAAGATACGGCTGGCCAAGGAAGAAAGGACAAGCGATTTGCACATTCTGCGGGGAGAAAAGAGCCAAATTCTCGTTCCGTTGTCCTGACTGCGATGCCGCGGCTTGTCCAGGATGCAAGGCTAAATACTGCTATTTTTGATGCTCTATGACAGAACAACCTCAAATGGAATACTTGATGAACAAGACCCAGGCAATGATGATCAGCGAGCAAACCAGGCCAATGCCTACTGCAGTGTATACCTTAGACGGCTTACGTCCAACGCAATCCTCAAGCTTGCCCTCTTTCTCAAGTCCCATGCGCCTCTTGTTGTTGATGCTAAGAATTCCCGAAAGATACCTAAGCGAGAATATCAGTAAAGATGACGAGTGGAAATCATACTTCAGTAACTTCAACTTACTTTCGGTCCAAGATCCCGTAGAACAGGCCGAGACAGAACTCCAGACCCTTGACAGCAACAAAGAAGGCAATGACACGTTCGTATGTGCCCCCCGGGGTGATGTCTTGCAGCCTTCCGGCAATCATGTCGACGATGACGCTTCCAGCATTGTTGAAAACCTTCCAGATTCCGAATACGAGTCCAAGTTCAAGCTGGTCAGGGACGATGAGGGGAATCGACGCTAAGAAGGGAAGAGCATTCATTGTCGATGCCACAGATGCAATAACCATGGAACCAAGAGCGTTCGTCTGAGTGTATCCAATGAGGCAATACACCAGGATCCAAATAGCGGATGTGATGCTCACAAATACCATTCTGTGACCAAAGAAGTCGAAATAAGAACCGATCAACGGTGCGCAAATGACAGGGATGACCTGTTGCACCGCGGATGTATACCCGGCAAGCTGAGCCGTAGACCCTCGAGTCTCAGTAATGATGTCGGCATTGAGACCGTTGAATCCGCCTACCACACCAGCTTGAAGAATTTGCGTGCAGGCAACGAGCCAGAAGAAGCGAGGAACGCGGAGGAGGGAGCTCCAGTCAGGAAGAGCTCGCAATGTTCGAGTGCTCTTACTGGTGTTTGTAGTCGCAACTTCGGTGTTACCAGCCTGCAAGCGTTCACGACGAGTGATCTCCCTCGCTCGCTCCTGGCCAGTGGGCATGCGAGTCCAATCTGGACGCGTCCAGACCCACCAGACGTAGAAGATATTTTGTAGCAGGTTGGCGAAACATACAATGGCTGGGATCCAGAGCGCCCAGCCCCAGAAAGATGTAGCATCTCGCATTGGAACCGCGGTGGCTTTCGCAATAAGGACGATGAGTTTTCCTGAAAGCAAACTGGTTATCAGCATCTGTGTGTCTAGGGCAAAATGTGGTGTGTGTGTAGTAGCGGAAGCCGTACCGATCGACAAATCCAAGCCGTATACCAAACCGAGCCCCTTGTGTTGGAACCAATGGGCCAAGATCTTCAATCGGTGTTAGCCAGGCCCGCGGTCATAGTAATACAACATTATGAAACTCAATGAAGACTGACCTTAGATGTACATGTCTCAATAACAGTGCTGCCAAAGCCCATTATGACACGGCCAGCGACTACTAGAGCGAATGAATCCTGGTTGGAGCCAGCCGCTGAGATCACCGCGCCGATGAAGATTGCTACTGAGCATGCCAAGGAGCCCCTATTGATATTATGTTAGCGAATAAAGGTCTTATATTGTTTGTTTTCCTCCAACAAAATGAACTTTGGCTGGGGCTTACCATTCGACGCCATAATGATCGAGCCCGTAACCCCCCAGTATTGGAAGAACGGTATTCACGAGCGATGTGGCTGAGGATATAGCTCCGTACTATAAAGAGTCAGTATAGGTCTTTCTCTGGAAAACTATGATTTCCAAACCTTACCTGAGAGTTGTTGATATCCAGATTCTTGATCAAAGTGCTCTTAAGAGGGCCAAGGGTGTTCTCAGAGAAAGACGAGCCCCATGAGAGGGCTACACCACAAAAAAGAGCGGTAGCCTTCCAAGTCCACGGGAAGTCTCTGATGGACTCAGAATCATCAGAAGGATAAGTCGTGGCGTCTGCGATGCCCTTCTCGTCGGCCTCGGACCGCGTTGGTGAAGCTTTATCTTTGCCGTCCGCAACAGGCAGAGGCCGTTCGACTGGATCCTTAGAGATCATTGCAAATCACTACAACAAGTAGCTGAGGAGAGAACAGGGAAAAGACGAGAGAATTGAGCGTGCAAAAGCCAGAAGTTTACCACTGAGGAGGCGCAAAAGGATCAGGTTTTATCGATCTTTGCTCGTACATCAGATAAACCGCCAAGACCGTGGCTCGGCGTCGGTTTGGCTCCACACACATTGAAATCCTAGCAAAGTGCACTAATGCAAGCGCCCCAACGCGACCCATTTATGATGGGCATGGGCGGGTTTTTTAGACAAGTGGGCGCATCTTGGGTGGCATTGTGACGGCTGACAGCAGGGGCTTTGGCTTTCCTGGGACGGATTCCTCATTTACCCCTCGTAAGATTTGCCTTGTCACTCTTTTGGCAGGTAAAAGCGTCTTACATGGGAGTGAAAGAATCTTGAAATTTATCGCTAATGATCTGAAGTCTACGTTGATATCTCTAGTTCCCCGCCTAAAAGTCTTCGGAGTGTACGTCTATTCGAAGGTCTCGCTTCTTCCGCCAACTTTCCGCCGAATCCCTCACAGCTTCCATCAACGATTCTGGGCCGCAAGTGGCCATTAGGACTCTTTGGCGACTCTCGACGGACTGTACGGCATCGCTTATTACCGATTCTATGTCTATTCTCCTGAAATGGAGATTATAAGCCTGCTCGACTTCATGGCCGTTTGTTCGGGCAAGCAGACTACTTGTGTCGTCGGCGCTTGATATGGCTCCGTAACCCGGGGTTCTGTTTCCAGACAGTAGCTGACTTTCAACGTCGTAAGGACCATCGTATGCCGTGGCTACTGAGCTTGATGTCGCCTCTTCATTTGTGACATAGAGTGATACTTTGACGGCTGGTCCCATCTTCATGAGATTGCTGAGATGTTCGGAGAACCACTGGAGATGATCTATCGCATCGTTAGAGAAAAAAACACCGAAAGAAATGGATGCACTACAACTAACCTGTACGTCTGACAGTCCACACGAACTCAACTGACTGAAGCTTAGGTCTCTCAGACTGGCCCAGTATCCGGTTCATTAGACCAAATGTGAAAGCAGCTCCACTTCCACCAGCGATAAATATCAGCTTGTCGTAGTTGTCCATGTTAGGACATACACCGTACGGCCCATCAACCGATGCCCACGCTGTAGAACGAGGATGGCGTGCAGCAAAGTTGCTGACAGCTTTGGTAAAACCCTGGTGAGACTTCATCACAAGCTCCATGCCGAAGGGACCATTATTGACAACCGTGAATGGATGATTCTCATATGCATGAACCCGAGGAATCCAGAGGAAGATGTGAGTCCCCTGTGAGACAGCTTGGAGACGTGGCCTTTTGAGAAGCAGGCGAGTTCCCCCGTCCGGGAGTGGATAGAAGGTGACGGAGTTATGGATGAGATTGTAAAGCATCCTGGAGGCTCGGATTGCGCGATCTAGCAGCCAAAGTCCGAACGCGAAGCTCATCAAGGCTGGTATTCTCTTTGCCCAATTTGGTCGATGCAGCCCCGTTAAGATGACGGCGGCGGCGAAGCCAGCAATGTGACTAATGTAGAAGAGCTCGTAGTTCCTGTGTCTCATGATGCCGAGGAAGAGAATGATCATTCCGATCGCGGCGCCGATACCAGCCAAGTCTTCGGGTTTCAGCAAGCTGGCCAACTTGCCATAGCGATGGAAGTGTATCGTATAGAAGATGGCGTGCAGAGCTAGTAAGAAGACAGCAGTATATCCCACAATTCGGTGTAGAATGTTGAGTTGTGCATGTGATACTCCCACCATTGGAGTCAAAGGTGTATTCTTCATTCCGAAGAAGATGCACAGCGTCATATTTGCGGCGCACATCCTGGACCATGTTAGCTGTCGCAAAAAGAACTTGAACATTGTGTGAGAGTCACCATCCAAACCTAGACGCCCAATGGTTGAGCAGGCGCCTCATGACAATGTTGGTTGAGCATAACGTGACGTTGACGACGATGTAGACCCCAACCATCGCGATGAACCCGAAAGAGGGCCTTCCAAACCATCCCCAATCCACGCGCCTCTCCAACTTTCTAAGAGCCTCATTAGCGTCTGAGTTTTGGGCCAACAAGACGTGTTCCCACATACCGGAAGAAGTCAACGCATGCCCGGCGCCCGGGACCCTTTAGCCCCTGAGCTGATTTAGAACATGGGTTCTTGTTGGAAGTCTCACGCAGCCAATAGGCCACGAAGGTCAAGAGCACGAGACCAAAAAGAAACGCGACGTAAAAATGTAAAGTATCCTCATTAGCTTTCTGCTTTGGGCTCTTGAATGCTTGCACCATCTTGTCGGCGAGGATGGTTGAGGAGACGGATGTGGTGAGACCGAGGTAGAACGAACGCACAGGCAGACCGAGTCACGAAACGGGAGATGTGCGCTGATTGATAAGATGAACGTGGGGGAAGATTGATAAGATTGATAAGATCATCCACCACAGAGATTTTCGGGGGGGCCCACATGCAGTATGCCACGCGGTCGCTTGAGAGACAAATGCTTCGACACGTGAGCTGGCCAGCTGGCCGTTCTATGTAAGACAGCTTGGGAAGTCCCAGTCTGGTCACTGACAGCTGACAAAATCCCATCTTTAAGCTGGGTTGCCCCAAGGCTGCAGGGTAGTTGACATCGAGCGTTCTCTCACGGTGAGAAAAGCCTCGATGGTGGAAACCCAGACGACAGGGGTGTAAAATGCTGCAGATTTCTCACGGTGAGTAATCATCTCTGGATAGCGGGTGAAGTGGAGAACAGCGCAACGAGTGGAAGTCAGAATAACTACCGGCATCGGACTCCGTGAGCTTGTGGCGTTAGTCTGTCCAACACATTGGAGCAAGTGTGCTAATGAGGGATCAGTTGTCTGGGTTAGAGGGCGAAACCAGAGCTCATGATTCAGCATTTTGGATGATGAAGAACAATCTTGTCTTATTTGAACTACGACCGGCGACAGATGTACACCCCTCAACTGTATTGCAAGACTGTTGCCACTTCTGAGTATCAATAATGCTTCAGAACATAAAGTTTTTTCAATCAACCCTCGCGAGACGGTCTTAGTCATGGTTCTGTGCAGCGAAACATCTACTAGTGTCTCGAATTAGAGCGAGGTACTGACATTTCATAATATATGATTACTTGCAACGTGGACTCGCCGAGCTCTCAAAAGAGACGTCAGCTCGTGGTTTAAGTGCGATTAGTTTCACGGATGTTACATAATTTTGACAAAATCGTGTGGACATTCTGCAAAGCAAAACAAGTTGAGGATCGTGCGACTGAACACCAATGTCCTTGATCTCTCAGAATAGTGAAAAAATTGAGTGGCAAATTGTTAGAGGGAATATTCCAGATGTCTCAAAGCGAGTTTCCTATCACTCACCTCGTCCATAGTATTCTCAGCATCCAAGTGCTCCGAAGCAGCATCTCCGAGCCATGCTTCCGGTGCTCGGCGGACTCACGGGATCCGCCTTGATCTGATAAGCTGATAAAGACCTAAATTAATCGCTGTCTAACTGTCTCTGTCAGTAAATGTGGGCATAAGTCAAGGGTTAATTGATTGATAACTCCTAGTGCGGGTCGGTTCTCCGCAAATCCGACCAAAGCCGAGATGCACGAGTGGAGCTCAAATTCTGCATGAAAGGGGGGGGGGTGCCATTGCCTCTCTCGCACAAGTCGCCATCAAATGCTCCGAGCCGCCGCGCGATGGATAACTCTATATGTCTCTGTAGCTCGATTCGGCTTCTATCCAAGCAATATGACGAAGATCGAGCTAGAGAGTTGATCCCTGCCCTCAACAGCCACCTTGAGGACGTCCGCCGACTCCTGGCAAAGTCAAAGGCACTTTCCCGGGACGTGCAGTATCAAATCACGCCACGCAACCAGCGTACGAACAAGGCCCTGTCCGTGGACTCAATTGACCTCGCGCCCGTCAAGCAGATTTACGAGGTCTTCAGCGAGAATGTCGATGGCTTCTGGGTAGCCTCTGACGACCGTGTCAATGCCGACTTGCGTCGCCGGTTGGCTTGCATAGTAATATTCTTGAGATCCAAGTTGGATCCTGAAGCCTCAGTGCCACCACATATCGCCAAGCCATTCCACGGACAGACAAACTATGCGGATATTCGCAATTCTGGAAGAAAGTATATCCAAATCGCCCGAAAGCTGGGTGGTCTGGGATCGATTCTTTGGCTTCCTTTAGACATTCCGCCATCCACGTAAGACTCAAGAGGGTGCACTACCCATGTAATTATTTACAAAACTAACTTATACCGGGAAGTTATGAGCGATACTTGAACATAGATGATGAGGAAGTCTTCAATCATTTAATATCTCTCGCTCCGCAAGTCACGGATCATGCGGACGTAGTGCAACGTCTCATTCTAAGTCAGCTACGTGGTGAGCTGCCTTGTGCCTCTTTCCTCTTTGGGCTTATATACTTATCCACGACCGCAGATTCATCTTTAAAATTATCTTACTATAACCTCTTTGTGGACTATTCAGAGTTGATACCAGCAGTGGATCAGCTGTCACTGTTACTTCAAGCATTCGGCGCAGTCGAAATTCCCGAGGTCCTTCTGAAAGGTGTGCGAAGCCAGCAGCGTCGATGGAATGCCGACGGAGAAATAGATGCTGTCGAAGCTTCCAAGTTTGGTCTTTCGACCGAGCTGGTCAAACTTATTTCCGACGACGTTGAATATGCATGTGCCATAGAAAGCCCTAACATCATCAAGCGCAGGCTGGATAACGACACCCTGGCTTTGTCGCTATGCCCCGAATTTTCAGTTTTTCTGTCTCGCGTCTTACGACCAAGAACTGTAGAAGAACTAGGGGCGGTTGCGTTGAAGGTCCTTTGCTTTGTTTGTCCACCATGTTACGAAGGCAACACGGACTGGTATGGCCAAATTTTGACCGACGACACCTGGCTTCAAACTGACATTTTACAGGTCCGAGCCATTGAAGTTGGCCGCTTGGCCTATCGTCGAGAAGACGACGAGAGCGTATAAAGTGCCAACACCGCTCAGGACACAACTCCTCGAGGCCATTCTTTTCTTCTGCGAAAGAGACTCGGTTGCCATGCGCCATGTTGCTGTGGATAGGGCTAGATCGTTGTTGCGAAAATCTATGCCTTACTATCTCCACGCTACCGTTGTGCTCTTCCGCAGCGTTCTTTACCGCAATGATGGGGAATTCACAAAGTCAGAAGCCCACATACGCGACTTTGTATGGCGTGGCCCGCGACCTGTTACTCGACGGGACCACTCGCTCCATGGACGACTTCACATATCCCAGATGGAGAATAAGATCAAGTGCACTGACGACGACGTTTCTCTACTCATCTACGAATGGAAAGCAGAACTGCCGCTCTCGACTCTGGATACCGAGGTGACATTCCGGCTTCAGAGCACGGCAGCGCGGTTCTTCCAATCCATCGGAAACTTTGCTGCAGCCAGGGCTTCTCTGGAACAGACTCTCTCGCTTGACATGACAAAACCGCTGCGAGGGAATACGCGGCGTCTGTTGGTGAGCAGACTTGCCGACATGTACTGCGAAATGCAAGAATACTCAAAGGCGGCCGAGATTCTTCGGCCCGAGCTGAGTAGCTCAAATAAGCCCGAACTCTCACGTAGAGCCTATCCGCGTCTGCTACTTTCATCAGCAGAGTTCAATATCGGACTCGGAAATTTCGATGCAGCAGAGCTACTACTTAGGGAGCTCGAGACGCAACATGCCACACCGATTGGCATAGACACGCTCTTTGATCAGCAGCTACACATGCGTGCTGTTCTCGCTGTAGCTCGGATAGCCCACTTTAGGTCAGATAAGAACGTCGCCGTGACGCGGTGGAGATACGCCCTGCAAGAGATTCAGCGTATGCACGCCCTCAAAGCAGAAGCCGGCTTCACGGCGGCGACGATACATTTGTCCTTGGCTCATGCACAGCTTGCTGCCGGCGATGCAGTAGGTGCCTCGGCATCTTGGGCTGCTGGATCGGACATACTCAAGACTGAGACGTGCGAGTTCTGGCTTCCTATCGTACCGACCGTGTGGCTGAAGAAGGTCACCCGTGAGGTCTATGAAGCTCAGGGTTGGACGTTTCGCATGATGCTACCTGGCGCCAAACCTGACGCTACAACACCGTGATTTTTCAACACGATGGCGAAAGCTCGATTAGAAGCGTTTGGAATGACTAAGTTGAATTTGAAGATTCTTTTCTTGCGCGGCGTTACGGTAGACAACTTCTGGAAACCTGCTTCGGACTCGATACGGCGCTGCTTAAGGTAACTAGTTGAACCCTCGAGAGGGAGAATGAATCGCCTTCAGGAACAGAATGAGATCAAATTGAATGAGTTGTTGCTACTCAAATTTAAATGCAGCCTTTTCCTCTGGCAATTGTCGTTTAGTTTTTGTTGTCAGTTGAGGCCTACGTGGCCTACCTCCATGCCATCAATGAAGCAGCTTTGATATGTTGACGGCAACCAGTTGCATCAATAAGAGGCGCGATCGGCCATTGTCAAGGTGTAACATACACAGACCGAGAAATTTGAGTCACTTCATACGAAGAAATAACCGTGTTGATGAACAGAAAACTTTGCTTACTGTTTTTAACAGTCTGTATGGCCTCGAAGATTCTTGCTGCTCTGGCTGGATGCTGCCATCACCTATTGACCACAGGGGATGACCTCCTCCATAATATCCTTGAAATGTTGGACTATCCTTAGAATGGCTGTTTCCAGTCCACCTTGAACAGAGCATGGTGTGAACCGACAGGCTTTAGGACCTTTCCTACAGTGTTCGCATGGAGGTGAACGTGGCACAGATTCTATTTCACATCAGGAACCGTTAGCATATGTGTACTTCCAAATTGGACTTTGGCAACGATGGGTCTGAAGCCAGAACGGGAGACTTACAAATGCGTTAGTCCAACCAATACCCATGCAGTTCGAAACTCCGTTACATTCAGACTTCAAACAGTCCCACGGCGTGCGGTAAACGGCAGTCGAGATTACCTTCTGTCTTGTGTTCGTTGTGGCCACGCCGCACCTTCGCTCATACTCGACGCCTTCGATGGAGAATCTGTCCGCGCATTGCCTGCTGCCACACATACCTTGCCATGACATGGTCTTGCACTCGGCTTGCTGCGGAGATTCTTGCTGGTTGTTCTGACTCTGACCCTGTTGATTTTGGCATTGTTGTAGTTGCTTTTCGATGGCGGATTTCGAGGCATCACACTGCGTTCTAGCATCGGTGAGCTCTCGAGACTTTTCTGCGTCGCATTGCGTTCTAGCGTCGGTAAGCTCCCGAGACTTGTCGCTATCACACTGCGCCCTAGCATCCGTAAGCCCTCGCGCCTTGTCGGCTTCGCATTGGATCTTCTCCTGTGTAAGCGTGGCCGCCTTCGTCTCAAGTGCCGACTTTTCCTGATTGCAACTATCCCCCGCCTTCCTGACATCATCATTACAATCAGTCTGAAGCTTTTGTTTCTCCCTCTCGCAGAGGGATGTCATCTGGCTCTGGATGGCGTCTTTCTCTTTCTCGCACTCGGCTGCGTTCTGGCGGCCACTCCCGCCTGATATGGAGCCATCGAAAGCATCATCCGTCTTGACGAGGAGTATGGAATCGGTCATATTGCCATTTACGGGCTTGAAGGCAGCGTTCGTGCTTATATAACATTTTCCCATAGTCCAGGCTGCTGCAACACACTGCGGATCCTGGGCGCATGCCTGGGCGCAATGAGCAGGCGTACGAGATATGATCGTACCCGTGTAAGGGCTCGATGGCCAGGATGCACAGGTATATTCGAATGTGCTACCACTGATGACACCTTTTCCAGAAGATGTTTGCGTAGGGCAACACGACTTGTAGCTTGGGGATGAAAGACAGCTGCCGTTGTCGCCGGTGAGGGGCGCCTGCTCAGCTGCTAAGACCCAGATGATGCTTGGAGCAACGACGAGTGTGGCCAAAGATAGGTGCATAGTAGCGGATCATACAAGAGAAGCAGTTGAGATTGAGTAAGGTAAAGTCGGACCAAGTTCAGCCGAAGAGAATAAGGTGGATGCTAGGTGCGTCTGAGCAGGTCTCCAATGAGTCTGCACAGGTGGTCAAATTTATTCTTTTGGGAACACTTTGAGAAGTATTCACAACGACACTCGTGAGTCACCTCATAAACATACAGTTCTCTCCGACACTAAAGACACAACACACAACCTGCCAGAAAGATACATCGACCGTTCATGTGTTGCGTTCTGTTCAAAGATACCGACTAAATCGACGCATCATCTTATATTACGCTAAATTGGAAATGGCTTCTTGTCTTACCGGTTTTCCAGACCAATATCGGTGATAATTGAGGTATCAAACCTCTGATTGGTGACCATTGAGCATCTATTATTGACTGATTCAATGGTAGGCCACCATGGCGATGAAATTATGGATGCAGCCAAGGCGATTAGTCTTACTGGATTCATGACTGTCTCTCCACCGAGATGGACTCTCAAACGCCACGATAGTTTGCGTTGAGTTGCGATCGCCATCATAGCATGGCATAAATTCCGAATTGTCCGACTGTCCGACCAGCCGGCACTTGAAGCCTATATGGTAGGATAACAACCTTTAGCTTCATGCGTGAGCTTCAAAACCATTATCCGAGAAACTTGAAATCTCATCCGGAAGTTCATAGAGCATTGATATCGTTTAACGCACTCATAATGATGTCACCGAAAGATTGAGGTTTTTGGAACTGTTGTTTCCGGAATTCTACTGAGAGCTCCTGCAGACTGTAGCTCTTGAGCAGATGCAGCCCTCCTCGCCGTCCGCACAAGCCAATTCGCTGAATGGCGTTCTAAATGTCTCACAGATGGCTTGTCGAAAAATTGAGAGCTGTCTGAGGGGAGCAGGAATTTTTTGTGAGGCATTCGGTTAGTTCAAGTCGATAGCCGGGCAACTGGATCGTCCCGTTCCTTGATATTGTCTCAAAATACCCCGCAGCTTCGATCCAAACCGGCGATATCATACGCTCTCAGGAACGATCTACTATCTACGCGGCCGTTTGAAAGACATTCCATCGGCTAATCTCCCGAGATCTTCGAACCAAATCCATGGCTTGGAGCAACGTCGAACACGCGCAACTGCCAATGGGAATGCTGAAAGTCTGCCGCGCTCTGCAAACATTGGCAGAGCTCAAACGTTGCGAAATGGTAAACCAAACGAGAACAAGTCCATCATGAATTGTTTGGTCCTGAAAGCTTGAAATACGGCCGTAGGCACTGTTTGAACCTGCTCGAAGGATCATGTCTCGGTAGATCCCTTATCAAGATAGATGATCTACCCGATAAAAGTGTCTTGCCCGCAAAGCCACTGCCACAATGGAAAAGCCAGTATGTCCACAACACTTTTTACCATTATCTCAACGAATCGTATTCGACGGAAGGAACTCCGACTTGTATCGGCTTCTCTGAAGCGACGCTGAAGATCGACATGGCTGTTGACCAACCCGATTAGCGCGTTATCTCGTTGTATTATCGATGTTTTAGCTCAGTCATGTTTGGTACCAAATACATTTGATCACGTCCCAAAAAAGCAAAGTCTTCCACAGCCTCAATGCATTAAGACGGTGGCTTATTGGTCTCACTCCCTAAGACCGTCAACATTCAGTACAGCATAGAGGGGACTTAGAAGAGTTGCTCCTTGCCTTCACACTGTGTCTCTCTAGCCTCAAATATTTTTTTGACTTGGTGTTAATCGCGGAACGGGGTTAACTCTTGAATGTCACATTCAAGAGAGCTCATTTTAGCGGCAAAAAACCACATAATGTTTGCGGATAACTGGCAGGCCTAGATGAGAAAGATTGCAGATCATGACGTATACTTTGCCAAAGAAATGAGCCAGTTTCCTGCTCAGCTGTTGTAGAGGGAGTTCAGAACATTGCTATGTGGGCGGCTTACTGGCCTTGACAGATGGAATTTCCCGCCCTGTCTAAGGCCTCGGAATCATTCCATTCAGCGACTTGTATAAGAGGAGTATCACGCAATCAACGCTGCTGTTTTTCTTTTCTCTACAAGCATCTATCAAGCTCTGGTGTGGAACATTTTCAAAATCTATCACAATGGTCGCTTTTCAAGCGGCGGGCCTTGTTTCTTTTCTCTTTGCACTCCAGGCAGTAGCTGACCAAATACCACTTGGGTCAGCAGTCCGCAACAAATGGACTCTGGACGCCATCAAGCCTCACACCGACCCAGAGTCCGGCCGCGTCAAGTGTTGCCCGGAAGGGACCTTATTCGATGGAAACTCTTGCGTCCTTGGTGTTCCGAGATGCCCAGACGGCACAAAGCTGAGAGGTAGCCACTGCATCTCTGTCACTGGCCCTATCTGCCGGGATGGTGAGACCTTCAACGGGCTTGTCTGCATCACGAGCACTCCACCATCTTGCCCTTCCCCGTCGATCCTGAAAGACAAGGCTTGTGTTTTGGAAACTCCACCGAAGTGCCCTTCTGGCACAGAGTTGGCCGATAAAATCTGTATCTCGACCAAGTTGCCCATCTGCGGCAATGGAGATCGTTTCAACGGCAAAGGTTGCGTCAGCTCCACCCCACCAGTATGCCCTGAGGGCACGAATCTTTCCGATGGAGTATGTATCAGTATCGTGCCACCCAGTTGTCCCGCCGACAGTGAATACGACGAAATCAACAATGTCTGCAACCATCGCCAGTCCCCTCAATGTCCAGCAGGTACCTTCTCCAAAGGAGGCAACTGTATCACTGATGGTGGCCCCGAGTGCCCAGTCGGAACAAGGTTCAGCATCAAGAGAAATACCTGCATCATGAAGACACCGCCATCGTGTCCCCCTGGCGATACCCTAGAAGACACGAAATGTGTCTCTCAATACAAGCCCGCCTGTTCACCTGGGACGGAGTTGTCTGCCGACCAGGCTTCGGGCACTTCACGATGTTGCCCACCACCCCTAAGGTGGGATGGAGACATCTGCTCATACAAAGTTCCCCCTGAAGGATGTCCGGCAGGAACGAAACAGGTCGGCAATAAATGCACGGCCATCATGGTCTTTCCCCCATCATGCCCTCCCGGATTCAAGCTGGACTGCGCCCGATGCATCTCTATAACACCGCCGGAGTGTCCTCCTGGCTCTGCTCGCGATGGGATCACTTGCATCTCCGTAGAGCCTCCCATCTGCCCCGACGGCACGACATTGTCCAACGGGAACTGCATCCACAAGGGCGAAGCCGTCTGCCCCGAGGAAACTCACGTCCAGGGCGACGAGTGTATCAGCATTCAGCCACCCTCGTGCCCCTCTGGAACCACCTTTAATGGACGCGACTGCGCCATCAGCGGCCGGCCAGAATGCGAGGACGGCAGCCACTTCGACGGCGCGGACTGCACCCGAGTAGGGGGTCCCCCTCCAAGCTGCCCTGAGAACACCATCTACGACGGTTCACGCTGCGTATCAGTCACTCCGCCCGCATGTCCCAAGGGATCGTCTTTGAGTGACGGAGCATGTGTCACCGGGCAAAGCCCAGTCTGCCCTGAGGATACGACACTCGTCGGCGGCGAGTGTATCAGAGGTCCGCCTGCCTGTCCAAAAGGCCTCGTCTTGAAGGGTACCACCTGCGTCAGCATCGACCCGCCGGACTGCCCGCCCGGTCACCAGTGGCGTAGCGGCCGATGCCAGGATATCGAGGAGAAAACCTGTCCTCCTGGGTACATCCTCACTGGGGAGGAGTGTATTTCCGATGAGACACCAGAGTGTGACCTGGGTACTCATTTCAACGGAACTGTCTGCGTCGGTGATACTCCGAGCTGTGAGCCTGGAACAGAGTTTGACGGAGAGCGGTGTGCGGCCACCGTGGAACCTAGTTGCCCTCCGGGCACTCACTTCAATGGCCGGATCTGCGAATCTGAGCAGGACCCCGTCTGTCCCACGAACACTACATGGGATGCTGCTTCCAAGGAATGCGTGGGCCAGACCCTGCCTCAATGTCCCGAAGGCCAGAGATTCAACGGGGAGCATTGCACTTTGTCATCGGGAGACTGCATGGAGTTTGAGTACTGCCCTCCGGGAAATACCCGTGGTTTCCTAACCCCAGATTGCGGAAGCTCTTATCCCAGATGCCAGTAACTTCAAAATCCGCTTTAGGGCATGAGATGATTGGCGTGTATAGTGCAAGTGGCGGACATGAAGACTCTTCATGGCATATAGAGCGACTGAGTGGAGAAAAGCCATAGCCTGACTTGTTTGCTTTCCGCTGAGTTTGGAAAGCAAATGGAATGATAGCATTACCTAATACTTTGCTTCTTGCAGCCATCTCTTGCTCATGCTTGTGACTTCAATATGACTATATATGATAGCGATTCGGAAAATTGCTTTTTGCGTAAGTGTGGGAATACAGGCTTCGGCAGAGGAACAATCCGGTACCGCAAAAGCAACAGAATGTTTAGCATATCGCTTGTCATCAGGCCATTTGTTGTGTTCGTTCAAGATTCACATCTACGACTGAGTTTCTCAAGACTCAAGAAACATGCTTGTCGGGGAAAGCAACCCAAGAGAGGTGACGCAAAAGACAGAGAACAAATGAGGCTACAGAAGTGCGCATCTATCAAATGTATCATACTAAGATAGAGAATCAGACACCAAGAAGTGAAACGATTAGACTCTAGCGATATCATTGGATACTAGAAATGTCTCTTGATCATGAATAGTTGCAAGCGAGGCGTATGGATAATTCCCACTGATAATATAGAAAATTCCGATCATTGTATAACATGAACTTCCTACCCTCTTTTCTCACAGTCGGGCGGTATCAAGTCCACTGCTATGATTCAGTTCTTATTGTTGGACGCAATTGATATCATCTTAATAGTGGCTCGTTCTTTTTGCTTCTTTATATACACTGAAAGCCTGTGTCGGCCAGTCAAACAATAATACAACCATGTCTACAACGAGGACGGAATCATATCGAGAGAGGACTACTACGACGATACCTCCAAATGCCTTAAGACTCCATGTTGACTCACGAACAGCTGTGGGTCTGGCGGGGAAATGTTCAAACTCTTCGAAATCTCCGTCCTGCTGTTCTCCCTCGTCCAGATTAACCCCTTACTCTACAATACGCCCTCCGAAGTGGAAATCAACGAATTTTGCAAATGACGTATACATGTCTTCAGGAAGCCTAAAGTCGCAGCAGTCAACACATCCCCGACTCAACTAAGAACCTTCTCACTTGATTATGAGCATGAGATTCTAGAAGGAGTTCAACCTCTCGGAGGCAGAGAAAAGGATCCATGAGGAATGAATCAAAGTGTATGCGGCCTGCAATCGCCGGGGCAATCTCTTTGCGAAAGAGGCCGCTGAAGCAGCTGGGGACAAGGTCGCCCCGGGCCAGCCGCCGCCTCGAAGGTGAAAGGAACGCAAATATACCATTGATGTGGTATTTGGCGTGGCGATCCTTCAATCTTCGTGTCCTGGAGAGCTGGAGGCTACGCCAATCACGAACTGCATTGCGCCGCCTTGGGATGAAGCTATCCCGATTCCCCATTCATTCGTCAACAATGAAGGCCGCGAGATGGAACAGTGTCCGAAGAGCAGGCCTGGAGCAAAAATGAGGATCCCTAGGGAAAGCTTAGAAGACATCAAAGTAGAGAGCTCGTAGGACAGCTCACTCATTCAATGCTTCAGTGCTACATCAAGACCACCTTGTGCGTCGATTTTCTCAAGGAGTTCTAGATCTTTTTGCCCAACGCTTGCGTCTTGAGTCGAGGTTACTTCTTTCCAGAGAACACTACCCACATGGTTGAAGGCCGAGACCCGTTCATAAACTGTCAACTGCGATCAACTTGACTGACCCGTACGCTCTCCCTGCAACATTAGTTCAGAAGACAGTATCCACAACAGACCCAGGGCCCGCGTTTGTCTATTGTCGCCAGCAAGGACATCACCAGATGCTAGTGAAAGTTGAATCAACTGGTTCCGCGGACTAGACTCGCCTTTGTGTCATGGACTCTACAACCTTATCGACGTTCAATTTTCTTCTTTCATTTCTCTGTTTAAAAATGAAAGTCGCAACTGCTGCAGGCATTTTCGAGATTGACCATCCGTATTCAGAGCTCTCTCAACCGGGCAGGCCATTCATAAGGAGCTTGTGTTGCTCTTCTTTGAGGAACAAGGACTAAACACACAATGTCATTGAAGCTTTCATTGTCCAATATAACACAGTGCTTCCATGTTGATCTCAACTCTAGTTCAAGCCGATTTTCTTTATTGTACTTTCTGTCATACTTCTAGTTGCTAGACTGAACTAACGCAAGTTGATTTCCAAACGAGATGAACAAAAGGTTTCAAAAAAAAAAATGCTACGGCTGTTTTGGAACATCCACAGGCCTCAGTGGAGCTGGTACTGAGGATATGTCCCCTTAAGCTTCAGATAACTCACTCCGACTTCACATTCCACTCAGCGAATTATTTCTTCGAAAACCCACCAAATCAACCACGGGTCCCAGGAAGTCGAACTTATATCAGTGGCCGGGCAAGTCACCTCACCACCTTGATAACTTCCTGCCCGGTTTTAAAGAACAACGCCAACGCACCTGCTGTAAAGCTGCGAGCGCTGTGAGAGCAATCTATCTCCGAAAAAGCGCAGGGCTTGTATCTCCGTTGGACTCAGCTTCACCTTCGTACCAGGGGGCCAGGCACGCCGCACAAGAGCCGGAGATATCTTCCTCGAATCATAGTATAAGGTGATTATATCCTGAGTACAACATCTTGCCCTTTCCTCTCGATACCTTCACTCGCATGCAAGTTGGCCTCACTCAATTTTTACACAGTTCAAGATTCCTAAACGAGTCTCGTGAGCCTCGCTCTACACCTGCTCCCTCGTCACTTATACCAACAACCCTTCCCCATAATCGTCACAGTCATCACCAATATTCACAATGGGTAGTATCATCGTTCTCAACACCATTGAACTCGGTCCCCTGGACCAGATCGCCCCGCGGATTTACGTACGATCGATCTTTGTCTTCGACCAGAATGAGAAGCACACTGAGGAGACAGTTGCCCATCTCAAGGTTCGCTTCGGGATTGCTCTTGCCCGCTGGCCCTTCTTGTCAGGCCACATTGGGCCAGCTAGCAATAGTCGTCGACCCAATGAACTGGAGCTCACCTACGATCGGCTATATCCCCAGATCAACATGGATCAGCGACCAGAAATCTTTGCATATAGCTCAGTTGAGCAACTTGGAGGTCTCGATTACCCAAGTCTCAAGAAGCGTGGAATGCCTCCTTCGTTCATGGACAAGGATATTCTGTCCCTCTCTCCAAACCACCCGAAGCCGGGGGAATCCTACCCTCCTGTTACATTAAAGATCACAGAAGTTTCTGGAGGCGGTCTCTTCGTCTGCTTCTCTACACATCACGCCATCTTTGACGGCGGCTTTATCAAGGCGTTCCTTGAGTATTTTGGCCAGGGCAATGATGAATATCCTGAGTTCGCCTTTCTTGACGAGGCGACTCAACGACCGCTCATGTCCCCTTACACCACCACCACCGATATCTCAAAGGCCACGTTCCCAGAGTACGACTTCAGCCCAAACGACACCGTCACCAGCACCAAGCCCATCTCAGAGAAGCCCCCCAAAGCAGTCTGTGTACTCTTCAGCATCCCGAATAAGACACTCTCTAATCTCCACAGCGAAGCCCTCACCCATGTACGTGGGAGGCACGGCGACAAAGCCTTTGTCTCAAAGGCAGACACCCTCTCCGCCATGATCTGGGTCCACGTCACCAGATCCCGCTTCGCCCACCTCTCCCAGCAGGACCACACCTCCTTCACCACCGCCGCAGATGCCCGCTCCCGTCTATCTCCTCCCTTCTCCCCCGGGGCATGGGGCAACGTATACACACAGACCACCAGCGGCCAGGTAACGGTAGAGGACCTTATCCAGATCTCGACCTCTGGCACCCTCCCCTGCGACGCCGTGCCTGCTATCCTCGACGCCTCCTGGCGTGTTCGCCAGGCCGTCAGCAAGGCGAGCACGCCGGGCTACGTCCCCGCTCGGATCGCCCTCGCCTCGTCCCTTCCTGACCCCACGATGGAAGGCAAGGCCTTTACGAAGGCGCTCCAGGCTGGCCATGCTGGTCTTGGCTGCAGCGTCTGGACGCATATGGGTGCTGATGTGGACTTTGGCATCCCGGGCACGGGGGGCAAGGCTGACTACGTGCGTAAGACGTGGTCTGCGAACGACGGTAGCATGAATATCATGCAGCGTCGTGGGATTACCAAGGGTGATGCCCCTTGGGAGGTTCTGCTTGCGCTCAGAGAGGACGATATGGAGAGGATCTGTGGGCCGAATGAGCTTGGTCGCTGGGCGTCTACTTGGTGCGCATAAGTATGAGAGATGTGGAGATTTCCGTTCCGGGGGAGAATAAGGGGGAAAACGGACGATAATTGGGACGAGTCTTCTCCTTATTGCTTCGTATGAGGATACCTCCAATGACAAGATGAATCGCTATATTGGTAATTGCGGTAAGGATGGAGTTATTGTGTTGCTTTGGCGTAAGCATTGTCCGGGCTCATGATATCGACAGAAAAGGAGTGTTCAAGGCACCTCGGGACGTGCTGCGTGACTTGCGCCACGCACTGGACTGCCATTTGGCGTTTTTGGGTTGCTTGATGAGGAAGAGTCAGATACCTGTCACTTCATGACATTAGGGATTCAGGAGGAAAGAATGAGACATTGGGCCTTTCTAAGCGACAAAGGGAAGCTTGTTCGTATTCTTCTAATTACTTAGGCAAGAGGGCTTGGCTCTCAGACTAAATAAATAATGAGAATTGCTGTTGATAGAATGATGTTCCATCCTACCGTAATATGAATGTCATGGCTTAGACTCTTTACCCAGCCCGAATAGCTTGGGTATTATCCTTGATTTCAAATATGGTCGATTGAGAAGGTGAAGAATTACCCACAACGCTCCTGATAACCCGTTGCCTAGCTTTCAAATACTACCCAAGAAGTTTCGGCAGAAAGATCTCATGGGCCTGCTTCAATCTTGGGTGTCAATCGGAATATGGCAATCACTGAATGATATTCCTAGACCTCATCGAGACTCTTGTCGTGGAGAATGGGGTGACCCGCGACATGGAAGCACCCAATCAATGCAGCGTGGCATTCGCGATATTCTGATAGGCCGAAACGGGGGCTAGAAGTAGGGTACCCTTCTCCAAGTAACACTCGAGTAGTAACTATCTTCATCGACTCTTCAACCATAGCCATTCCCGACGCTGGTGTTGCCTCAGATACCGAGTGTTCACAAGTCAGTCGAGCCTCGGCTGATTGTATTTCCATGATCTTCAATGTCGGAGTCACTTGCTACAGTAAATGCTCTGCATAAGGTAGTATGTTGCATCCTTGAGAAATGCCAGGCCTAATACTTCATGCCATGCACTGGTTGCCATAGCTGCCAAAAACAAAACCCCACTTTCTTCGAGAAAAATTCGACTGCAGGATGTTTTTTTCTTGCTCTCTCGCCCACTTGTTCCAATCGGCAGCCCCAACGAGGTGGAGCACCTAATCATATCAACCTTTAGGATTCATGCGGATTGGACTTTTGACGTCTGAACCAGTCTCCGATGTCCCGTGGTCTGATCGGGGTCTCCGGGAGAATGATCGGAGCGAACAAGCCGGATCGGGGCAAGCCGAGTCGTGACGCCATTTGACTTATCGGGTGCGGTGTGGCCGTGCTTGTGCTAGGTTGCCTTCCCCCCCCCCCCCCCGGTGAGAGGGAGGGAAGAGAGTTATGAACTGATGACTGATGGTTGGCGAGGGGGGGACGGTTCCCGCATTCCCCGGCTGGTGCTGCCCGGTTGACTTTTGATTTCGTCAGTGGCCGTCACCCCACCTTGGAAGCAAAGACCGTCTGTGAAAGTTAATATCATGACCGGGGCGCTTCCGCGGGAGGAAGCTTGAGCTGCCTTATCTAGACCTCCTCTCTCCCACACTCAACCTCATACTCATACACACAACTTTACAACCTCACACTTTACCTCACTTCACCCATCACCATCTCATCAACATACCTCCCAAACCTCAATCCAAAGCTACAGTACATTGAAACCACAAAGACGATTCAAAATGACCCAACAACTGCCCACCGAAATGCGCCGCTGGCAGATCCCCGCCCCAGGCGCCTTCATCAAAGACCTCGCCCTAACCACCGTCCCAACCCCGTCCGCCACGACCCTGAAACCAACCCAAGTCCTCGTCCAGGTCGTCGCCGCGGGCATCAACCCAGCAGACTATAAGCTCCCAGACCTAGGCCTCGTCGCAAAAGCAATGGTCTCCTTCCCCCGCTGCCCAGGCATGGACTTCTCCGGCCACGCCGTCGCCGTCGGCTCCGAGATCACCGACATCGCCCCGGGCGACCTTGTCGTCGGCCGCGTCGACCCCCTCGGAAGCCACGGCTCCCTGAGCGAGTACCTCGTCGCCGAGCGCGACGGCGTAGCCGCTTTCCCCCACGGATCCGGGGCCGCGGAGAGTCTGGAGCAGGCTGGCGCCGTGGGCACGGCGGGCCTGACGGCGTACCAGACCATCGCGCCGTACGTCAAGGCGGGCGACCACGTCTTCATCAACGGCGGCTCGGGCGGCACGGGAACATTTGGTATCCAGATCGCGAAAGCGCTCGGCTGCACCGTGACGGTGTCCTGCTCCACCGGCAAAGCATCCCTCTGCAAATCCCTCGGCGCCGACGAGATCATCGACTACAAGACGTCCGACGTCGTCTCGACCCTCCGCGCCAAGGGCAAGGTCTTCGCCGTCGTCGTCGATAACGTCGGAAACTCGCCGCCGAACCTGTACAAGGCGTCTGACGATTTCCTGCTCGAGGGCGGCCACTTCAAGTTTGTGGGCGGGGCGGTGTCGTTTGCGCAGGTGAGCAGTCTTGTGCCGAGCATGTTCTTGCCGGGTTTCCTCGGGGGCGCAAAACACAAGTTTGAGGCCTTCATGACGAAGAATGCGCACGCGGATCTGGTGCAGATTGCGGCGTGGATGGCGGAGGGTAAGGTGAAGACTGTGGTTGATTCGACGTACGAGTTTGAGGATGCCGTCAAGGCGTATGAGAAGCTCAAGGAGGGCTCGGCGGCTGGTAAGATTGTGGTGAAGGTCGCGAAGAAGGCTTGAGCGGTTCACAGCTGGGGGATGGGGGATTCATATCTCTGGAATGATGTAGAAGAAGAGTGGGGGATGAAGGGTAAACAGGAAAATTGTGCAATCCTTCCATACGGTTGATATGGAAGAGATGGCTGGGCAGGTTGCTTCTCTTCCTATGGCGTTTTCGTGGAGTTTATGTGCAGTCGCGCAAAGCAAGGTCTATCTTGGTTATTGGAAAGAATAGATGTTAATCAATAAGAGAATTGTCTCGTAGTAAACTACTGTCGTCAATCGATTGAGTTTCTCGACCAGTAAGCACTAATGTATGCACCCCATCTTCATTTCAATCCGCCCTATTGCACGGTGATTGGGCACGAGCCAGTAAGCCGGCCAGTCGGTTCATCTCATCCCTCAGTCGGACTTGGCGTAAGGGATCTCCCGTGTCGAAACAGCAGATAAATTGTTTGCGCATAGACAGATGGCCCGGGGTTAAAGTGATGAGAACTAGTTCATTATCAAACTGCAATTTGAAAGATTTTCTACAGGTAAAGGGGTGAAATGATTGTTCATTTGCGGGTATCTCATGAGCTATGTTCTATAAAAGAGGTCGTGGCCGGCAGCCATTTGCCTTCCTGTATCCAGTCGCAGGTTGCTTGAGACACATCTCAGCAATTTTTGTCTCGCATTTGCAGGAAATGGTGTAGTCCCTAATCCGGACTTGATCTATCCACCTGATGGATTTCGAGCCACTCTCGATAGAGCCAGCAGCGTCGATTCTTCAACGACCGACGATCGCTTGGGTCTCGATTTTGCCGGGCAGGCTCTGTGTGAGAAAGAATTATCACATCAATGACACCTTGGCGTATGACGTGATCCAACCACCAAGGTGACGGCGACAAGAGTGATGCCGAATATGCTGGAAATTGTATTGGTGTGAGCCTGGGAGAATGCCTCTCACATGGCTCACACGTTCAATGGCCCAGGCTGCTGCCACGGGTTGGTCGAAGAGTTATCGTGCAACAGGCGCAAAACCGTATCGGCACTTTCAGCCCGGCCGATCTTTGTGAGATGGGTGACAATATCCATGGCCATTGTCCTCAGTCTTCTAGGTAGACGACCGTCGCCTTCCAAAGTGCCTCGATCGTCCAGGAACCAACGGAGCACAGCCAGGGCCCCCGTGTGATCTGGGTTTGTAGGGTGATGGAGGTCCAAATGTGCGCGGTCGAGTCTGATAGTTTTGATCAGGGGTCGTTGGTAAGCAGCGGTTCTAGCGAAGGATTCGTATAACGGCGCGGAGGGTAGCGGTCGCTTCCACGCATCGACTGTGGCTTCCCAGGAAAGGTGGCGGAAGGGTTGCCAGAGAATCTGAGGAAGTTGAGAATTCGCCTTCCAAGTGGTTTCTGCTCTTAGCATTGTTGAGAATGCCGTGTCTAGGCTGCGGTCTTCCAACCTAGACTTCGCCCGCACCAAGTTGGCGACTAAGAATCCCACTATCTGGCTGGAACCGTCCACAGGTCCTTCGCCGCGAACTAGTCGGTCCGCCCAAGTCCACGCAACCTCCTCCAATCCCTCTGCAACCATAAATGTGAGGAGCTCACGGCTTAATCCGACGTCTGCGAGAAATTCTAGGTTCCGTTCCTGGCCAGATGACCTCAACCACTGAACTACCCGCAAACCAGCTGCAGATGCCGCCATTGAATCCTCTACTGAGAGAGTACTGGATTGGAGAATCTGTAGTCGTTTCGCCTTCAGACAGCCTTGTGCCGCACGATTTGTCATCATGCCTCGCGATACTGCCTCATCGAAGACGTCCATCGGATCTCTAGGACTGGGAGTTGAGGAGGGGACATTGCCGAGCTGAGCGCCAATTTTGAATAGCGGATTGGAGAGAATGGAACGAAGATGTTGATCGGTCGGGCGAGACGGAGAGTGTGTTGAAGAAGTCGCTTTGGCTGCGGACAAGTCGGTGGCCTCGGGGGCGAAGCCATGCTCTTTGTCGAGGTTCTTGCGGAAGGAAGTCTTCAAGACATTGAGAAGCTTCTTGGACTGCTTCGATGAGAGGGGTAGCGGTTGGTGAATCGAGGGAATGGCATTTTTGATAGAGCTCAGAGGCTTTGTGGCGAACATTGTGAAAGTCGTATCGTAGGATTCGAGCTATCGGAATGGCTCTGGCGGCACAGACGGCCCTTCGTGATGTTGTTGCAAGAATAGACAGTGGCCGATGGTGCTCGCCGGAAGTGCGG